TATAGGAATTTTTTTTGAGGGTGTGTTTTGGAATCTGCTCTTTTGCACGTTAATTATGGGACACCCTGTATAATAATAATTTTATGTAAACATGTGAAGGTATTGTTTTAAACAATAGATAAATTCACATACAAGTAGGTATATCGTAAAAAATGGTAATTATTCATTTAAATTTCTTTTTTTAATTCCTGGAATTTAAAAATATTATCATTTTGCCTTTTTTGATTTATAAATAAAAAAAAAATTTAAAGTAATAAAAATGATATATTATAATACATACTATGTATTACATAGGTCCGTATAGGTCCCTGAAAAATACTATAAGGTTGCGGTTCACGAAATATTATAATATATTGTGAACAAGAACACTTTACAAGTAAATATTACAAGAAAATATTGCAAAAACAAGGAGTCAGTGAGAGGAAGTCGATTGTATAAGTATGAGAGAGATGCAATAGAAAAATCTAAAAAATAATATTTATAAATAGGTATTATTTGTCAAATATAAAAAGATTAAAATTATTATCGTATCGTATCCAACGATATATCGAAAATCATATAAACCCCCAATAAATCACCCTGTATAAATAGTAAAAATAAGTATATAAGTTTTATTAATAAAGAGTTTTACTTTAATAATAATAATATTAATGGGTCTTTATTTTTCAATTAGTACATACAAAATATTTATAATTAAAAAAAAAACAAAAATTAATAAATCCTAAATGTACATATCTAAAAGAAAAAATGCCGAAGATCAGTATCAGTAATCAACGTATTATTATTATATTTGTAATATACTACAAATATTTTTTTCAATAAAATTTTTTTATTTAAAAATATTTTTTTAAATAAAAAAGTTTATTGAAAAAAATAGATAAACAGTGGTTTCGTTCGTTACCTAATTGTTTATAATTTAACATGCGACTCAAAAAAAATAAAAGTGGTTGCGATTTGTTTTTTAAATCGCCTTTCACTGATTTTAGTCGATCAAAGAGACTGCTACGGTAGATCAGACTGGCAACCTTCACGAAATGTCGTGAACTTTTCAGCGGACTCGCTCAGCTCGGTTTTGTAACCGCTTAGTAATAAAACACTGAATAAAATGAAATCACCTATAAGATATGTGGACGTTGAAGAAATTTGCTTAAATTTACCGAAATGACTGTCAATCAAAATAATAAAATACTAATGAACATTCTGTACATTAGTCCTATAGGACTCTATATATAGAGTACAGGGTGTCCCATGGGAGATTGCAATCTCCCGGATTTATCATATCTTCAATTTTCTACAATTTCTGGTGTCTGTTGATTACTTTAAAGGTGGTGCGTGGGACACCCTGTATATAGATATAATTTTTATATAAATCATAGTATATTAAAGAACTAATGTCATAAGACGTCATTATGTCTTTAGGTCATTGGATCTTATGAAATGAGTTCTTTATGCTATTTTATCTATTTTGCAAAAATTCCATAAAAAAATTAATTTTATACCTTAAATTTAATTTGGTCGAATTTTACTTTAGATAGTTATAGTAAATTTAAAAGTAAACTACGTACACGTCATCAATAAAACAAAAATTTTACGCATTGGTACCAACACTAAATGACTAAATCGAAGTCTGTAATTGAATATTTGAATGCATTTTAACCAAATTAAGTTGGCAACAATTGTGATGTTGTCATGTTTACATTCAAATTTTTCATATTTAAATGACACATAAAAAAGAATTTGACGTTTTAGAATTTCGAAGCTGTCAGTTGTGTTTTTGAATATTTCGTTTAATTCGTGTATTATTTCGTGTATTTTGTTTGTTGTTTGTGTTATTTTATATCGTTTAAGTTTTCATTGCCGTTTTTGTGTTTGTTATATATCGTTTTTTTGTGTTTCCTATATTTAAAATGCCGAAGCATTTAAATAGTCGGAGTCAAGAGTTGGTGTCATCCTTAATACGCTATTTTGAGGCAGAACGGGATAATAATGGACCTTTGTTACCTTTAACAGCTGTTAGAGAGGTAAATAGGATTATTATTAATTATATATTAGAATATTTAACAAAATATATGTTGGATACATGAAATAATAATATATATACCAGAGACTGACTTTAGATGGCAAAATTTTTGGGTTTTATATTAGAAAATGTCTTTAAAAATAGCTAAAAACACACTTTTGGCGGTGCATCATATAGGTTATAAAAACTCAGACTTTTGACATTTTGGTATTATTCATGTAAACGCCATCTATCGCCCTGTAGTTGCACTACCACTTTCCCTTGATGCAAGGATTTTAGCATCACATTGACAACCGTGCCCGATCAGCTGATTGATGACGTGTACGTAGTTTACTTTTAAATTTACTATAGTATCACAGTCATTGGTTTGACAGTTAATGTCAAAATCGATTCGCTATGGCGTCCTTAATTTACTTATTTACAATAAGCGGCAGTTAATGTTAAAGAAGAAAAAAAGGATTTTCTTTGGTGTTAAACAAAATTTATTGCCAGAAAAGTCGCGTAAGTACTAGAAAAATCATAAAAATATTATAACCAATATGAAAAATATTATGCTGTTTAAAGTATAGCCAACTTATAAAATCAAAATTTTGGGTGGGGTAAAGTACCTCATACATAAGTCTGACTTATTAAGTCATTATGAACGCAAAATAGATAAAAATAAATTATTTATATAAAAATTTACAGGCAATAAAATCTTTATTAACCTTCTAAAACAACGTCAATGTTATATTATTTAAAGCAATTATAATGTTGAATGGTAATCATCTGGAAAATACAACTATTTTTTAGTGTGTGGAAAGTGTACTTTCTTCTAATTTAACTGTACACAGTACTTGTAAGAAAATAAATACTTTAAATGGTTAAAACGACTAAATGACGTAAATATATCTTTTAAGAATGTTTTCTATGAAATATACGAATTTCTTTTAGATTTTTCCTCAATAAAAGTATATTTATTTATACAGGGTGTCCAGAAAATAGCCCACTATCAAAAAATTGTTTCTCAGATTTGAATCAGGAAAATTCGGTATACCTACCTATAGGTAGGTATGCAATAGTAGGTAAAGGTATATAAAATACAATGTTTTAAAGCTTCCTTTTCGAGATACAGGGTGGTAGAATTATTAAAAAAATAACTTTTTTTTAATACCCAACTATACCTATATGTATATTTTTTTAACTTCAAAAATTCCCTAAAAAAATAGGCTTTTAGTAGGTACTGCATAAATTAGTCAAATTCTACTGAATGAAATAGTCAAATTAGTATATTTAAATTTAAAAAAAGTTATGACCCAGCCGGGGTTTGAACTCGGGTTTGACGGTTGTCAAGATTGTCAGGCTGTTGTCATAACCAATGTGGCTATCAGTCACTTTTATAAAAATCAATTTCATTTGTCTATGAATATTGCTCATAATATTTTAAAGTTGATTTTTTGTTTGTTTTACTTTTAACTCTCAGAAATAGTCAAAAATGGTGACTAATCTTAAATTAGTCAAACTTTAACTATTTAAGTAGTATAAAATAACTATTTAAAAGTGAAAACGACTATTTTATTAGTAAAAAATGCTGGTAGATACTAATTCAAATAGTAGAATTTTGACTATTTTATTATCCCAATAAATAATAATTGTGTACGCTACTGCTTTTTTTCTTTAATTTTTTTCTTGAAAATTAACATAATAAAGAAACATGCAAGAGACGAAAAACATATATATATACTATGTGTTATGTATACTATGTGTTTCATTTTGATTGGCGAAAATTCGGAATTTATTTAAAAATATATCGATAAACAAAATTTTTAGTTTGTTGTACCTACTCGAAAAGCTATAGAGGATTTAATTTTTTATTTATTTCATTTATAATTTTTTAAATTATAATTTTATTCATGATTCATTATCCACAAAAATAAATATTATGTGCATAGTCAAAGTTGCTTCATTATTTTGGATAAATCATATCATTATTTTTATACTTTTCTTTAGTCATTTGACAACTGATGAGCTCGTTAAAAACATATTTAAATTTACTAATCTACAATTTTTAATTGACTTCGATGAATTATACCTTTTGAAACACTTAATGTTGATGATTAAAAATATATATTAGGTAATTATGTTACTAAATCAATCTAAAGAGATCAGGGACGTACCAAGAGGAGTCGCCCCCCCACTTTTCCGGAATCGGCATTTTCAGAGGTTCCAAAAACATTTCAATATTTCCAATGAATGAAAACATATTTTGTAATTAAAATTACAAGTAAATGTTAGGCGTCGCTACCCAGTTTATTTTAATTAAGTAGCACTAAGGATATCAACTTGGCAATGCAATATTAATTAATTATACCAACAATATAACAATAAACGTGATATATATTTATAAATTAAAAAAAAAAATTGTTAAATAGAGTGGAACTATGAATAGAAACTTCCTTAAAAAGAAGCGCGTAAGTACATAAAACACATGTTATTTACTTAAGGAATGCAGTAAATTAAAAATTTAGACCACCTCTTAAAACTTTACATATTTTAAAAGGCAAATGTTTGTTTTGTTGAGGAACGATTGAATCTGCAAATATTTGCAATATTTTGCTATTCCTTATTTACTTAGAACAAAAGTAGCGTTTACATATTAATAAATATGTTAGGTAGCAGTCTTAAAATTGCATAATGTGAATCTAATCCAACTAGTTAGCGTTTATGTAAAAGAAAGCTGATAACCTACTGGTTTCTATGTCTTATACCACTTACTTTCGAATTAAATAGAGATATAGAACAGGTGCCTTTAATTAAATACAAATTATTATAAAATGTAAAAAATAAACCTATTTGATTTTTTTAAATGTGCCTATTTTATTATCATAAATTAACCCAAAGAACTAGATAAAAGTAAAACACCATGGTGCATATATAAGGCAAAAGAAATTAAACCTGTAAATACTGAGATTCGTTTTGCATACTAAGTATGGATACTCACTAGTTTATTAATTGTATATTGTCCTAAATTGAAAACTTCACTATTTAAACTAAATAAATCCAAAAAACGTTCACTTCTCACTAGTTTTGTGTCGCATTTTTCCCAAAGCAGGTCTATCGCTTCGTGTTTGCCATAACCGCGAAGATTAAAAACAATTGCGAATTTTTACACAGCCCACTTTTTAGCGACCCACGGCATACGGCCAAGAACTGTCAGATTGTAAGATTCAAAGAAGTAAAATCCTTTTACTTGGCGGAGGGCGCATGCGCGCACGTGGGTGAATGTCTTGCGGAAGACCTCCAAGACGTTGGTACCCAGATGGTGTGCGCCGAAGAAACAAACTCGCGTCGTGTAGGTAGGCAGCAGGAATTGCACTGCGGCAGGAATTTCCTGCAAGAGTAGCGTTTGAATTAATTTTATGCGATTTAAAGTTTTGATTTTTGACGCATATTTTCAGAAAATGCATCTCTTAGCTGCCTTGGTAAGATATTTTGCCCCTCCAAAGAGTTTTGTTTTGAAGCACGAAAACAAAAAATTAAGTAGGCTAATATTATATTTCATAAAAATATTTGGATGATTATTTCCCTCCTTATAAAATGAACGAATCAAGAGCCTTTAATTTGAGAATAAATTTTGTTTAGTTAAGCGATTAAATTACTAAAACCGCTACGCGGTCTCGTGATTTTATTAAATTATTTTGCGTTCAACATTTTGCAAAAAAAAAACAAACAAAAACTACTGAGCCTATAGGCTATAGTTTAACCGATTAAATTCATAGTTCTCGTGATATAATGTAAGATTTTAGCAAATAATTCAAATTCGTAATATTGTCAACTGATGAAAGAGAAAAACCTTACTTTCATATTTCCAAATATGGAAATAGTTTTAAGGATGTCTATGCCTTTCTGCTAAGGTTTTCCTAAAACGGGACATTTTGTGTGAATTCACATTAATTACGTTATTTAATTATTATTAATTATTGAATTTTTGTAAAAAAAGTTCAAGTTTAAAAAGAGTAAAAATTGGTCAACAAAGTTGCCTAGTAAACAGTCTTCTAGAAGACTGTGAATCTAGCGCTACTAAGTAAAAATTAAGACTCCTCTTTTTGATATTAAATGCATGCATGCACTCTCTAAAAATGAATTAGTCAAAAATGATTAATTTAATAGTTATTAGTGGCTGCTTTTTCACTGGTACCATGGTTAACCATGTTTTTCCGAATTTCCAGAGCTCAAAAACAATATTTCGATTCGTTTTTAGCCCTTTGAACTAAAAAATCTAGGAGTGTTTTCGAGAAAACGGCTAAATTGACGGTTAATTTCACTTTAACCTTGAATAACTTATAACCAAGTTAACTTACCGAAAAATGACTCTAGATCTTTTGTAGAGCGTTTAATTCTCTACAAAAATATTTTAACATTTTTTAAATGAGTCGGGTAGACTCGCCATAAAAGTTAAAAAACCCAAAAATTTCGTATAATTTGAACTTTGACCTTAAATTTCTTTAGAAGGATCAAATTTATCAAAAAATCATAAGAAACCTTTTTTGTAGAGCGTTTAATTCTCTATAAAAGTCAAGAACTTTACAGTTCGACCTATTGTTCGTTAGTTACAAAAATAAAAAAAACAAAAATAATTTTTCCTATGTTATTCTTATGGAAAATCGAAAAGTGCTTATTTTTTCACAGGCTCATTTTTATATCTATACAAAACTTTTGAGCGTGGTTCCGAGAAAAAAACAAAAAAAAGGTCTTTTTGAATCACCCTAGTGGACATATGTATAAACTTTTAGTTTTGATTTATTTCCCAGTAAATTTTTCTTTTTTATTTGTAAAATTTTATTTTTTGCAACCATATTGGTAACTAAAAAACTTAATTCATTTAAAAATTAATAATTATAATTATTAATTAATAACCTATTATTTATTTATTAATAATAATAATTATTATCATTTCTTTAAATAACGCCTTTTTCCACAACAAAATATTTTTGACGTTACTGGATTCTTAAAATTAAATTTTAGTTTAGTTTAGGGCAATCGGTCGTGTTATGAATATGAAAGAATTTATTATTTTATTTTGTTTATTATTTAAAAAGTTGTTTAATTTTATGCCATCTTTTATCAAGTAGCTTCGTTCTTGCTTTTGTTTAATAGTAATTTAATGTTTAAACTTAGATGTAACTAATATGGGATAGATGGCGTTGCTACTTAGTTTTCTCATATACTTACCACTGGTAAGTGTCTGAGTTATTGTTTTTTTTCAGTAATTTTTGAAAAAAATACTTACAGCTATACCAACTATTCTAGGTAGGTAAATGTTATTTTGTATTATGTTATTTAAAAACGAGTAGGTAATGTTCTATAGGTACAGATTTTAAGTGACCCCATAAGAAAATGTCTAATGGTGTCAGATCTGGAGATCTGGGAGGCCATTTTATTGGTCCTCTTCTACCAATTCACTGTGCTGTTGCCCTATCTAGTTTAAAATGTAATAAATTGTTATCCAAAACTAGCTCATCATCTAAACATAGTTTTATTTAAAATATGTGCACGCCAATGACGAAATTTTTTGGGGACAAGGGTTTTTGCTAGTTTTATGCTTATAAAAAACTTTTCATACTAAATATTATGTTGTATATTTTAGGACCAAATTTGGTCAATAAATATATTTTGTAAGGCAGATATTTTTAGAATCACCCCTATTGCAAATCATTGTTTTAGACCTCTAAAAACAATGTCGAAATTTAAAATTAGTTTGGGAAAATCTGAGGTCGATATTTAAAATTGGTTTGCATAAAAAGAGGAAACATTTTGTTTACAGATTTTGTTTATTAGAATACATTTTTAGAATACCTACAAAAAAAATACAATAAATAAAACTAAAAATTATGCATAAAAAATATTTTAATCTTTCCTAATTATTTACAAATATTCACAATCGTACAAAAATAGAAATGGGTTGGAAAATTTTACCACCCTATAGAAATGACTAGAAGTTACACTAGCAAGATGAAATCGAAATTTATTATCCTAACTAAAATTTATTTTGACTTTATTCCTTTTTCTGTAAAATAGTCCTGACGAAGCGTTTTGTTCATTTGTCCACCAATATACATCCTTATCCAGACTGGAGGAATGGATGCAAAAAAATACTAAAAGAAAAATATTTATATAGGTATTAGTTTTAATAATTTTTTAGTAATTTTATATTAAGACTATTTTTTCGACATATATTTTACCTGTATTCCATGAGACCAATATCCTGTAGACTCGTCCATCTTGCCCAAAGTACTAACAGCATACCTAGCGTAACTTTTAGCATCGGGGACAAGAGTACTAGACATCTGTAGCCTATTACTGAACGCGTTCATTTTTGTATTTATAAACATTGGCGACAAATGTTGTATTGTTATTCCTGCATTTGCGTATTCGTAGCGAAGAGCTGCAGTGAAACTTTTAATATAAGCCTAGAAGAACATTTATTATTAGTAAAAAGTATAGTTTCGTAAAAAAGCCCGATTATACCGGGTGATCGTTTTTCCATGGAACTAAAAAGCCTGCATATTTTTTTTTACCTTTGTTGCTCCATACACTGTCATTAGCGGTAACGGTTGCAATTCTGAACCTGAAGACACGTTGACAATCGCTCCACGCCCTCTTTCCTTCATGTCATCTATGAATGCCCTCGTCATGAGAGTTACAGCGCCTACGTTGATGGTGATGATGTCCGCCAGTTCTTTTTCTGGCACTTCACCGAGGTACATCGGGTATTCGTATTGTTTACCCACGTTGTTTACTAAAAAAGAACCAAAATGTTTAGTGGTTTTTTAATTAATTAACAATTGTGTTATTTTTCAGGGTATACTAATAAAAATACGGTCTTGACATCATATTTTTTATTTACTTAAAAAAAATTCACAAAAAGTTATTTTTCAAACGTTTTTTTTATTATTAAATAAAAGGGCTTTAAAAATATTTTCTCGAAAAACCCTCGAACACGTAAACGAGATATAAAGTTTTTTATAAAAAATTTCATAAAGATCAGTAAAGGCGTTTTAGAGTTAAAATTTGTTTACTTATCATGCGTTAATTTTGACGCTCAGTGTACTTTTGCTTTAACTAGATTAAAATTGTCCAATGGCGTCTCAAAACAAAAAAATATACACCACTGTTTTTTTTTGCAATTTTTATATTTTTTCATAATTAACCCACTAAAAATAATAATTAACTTTTTTGTCTCCTGAGTTGTTTTCGTATCTAACCTCGTTTTAGGCAGAAAAAATAAAATAGTATATTCTGTAACAAGTTTGGAATACAGCATATTCCGGTTTCACGAGAGCGTAATATGCAATTCCAAACGTGTTTCAGACTATACTTTTTCTACGTTTCCAAAAAATACCATAGAAAAATAATTTAATTGGAAGAAAGTGAGGTTGGATCGGTCTAAAATTTGTTTGATATTAAAAACAGAGATGTCGCCACGAGTGATTATTTTGTCATCCGATGATAGAATATTTCATTCTGTAACACTTTACGGAATATATGTCATTCCATAGATAAAAGTGATATTAGAACGGTCAAATTCCGTAATTGACAAAACGCAAATTTTGAACCCTTTACTGGTTAAAGAAAACTACCTCTTTTTATTTTTTGGTAAATTATTTCGTTTTGCAAAAAATTGACAAAACGCCAAATTTTAACAAAATCAGTCAAACGATACCTATTTAATATTTAAATAATCTTGAAAACGAATTATTTTCGGAATATTTTTGGATGACGAATTGGCGCATGTTTTTAGAAACACTGTATAAAATATGATATGATTCATAATATTTTCAGTTTTTATAATATACAGGAAAAGCTTTAAACCTAATTATTCTTATTGTTACCCAAGTTTTCTCACGTCTCAATAATTAACAAGAAAGTCAGAAAACGTAATATTACAAGAAGATTATTACCAGTATAATGAAAATTATGAATAGTTCACGTTTTAATTGTATTAAACTAACCATATACCATCTGCTGATGATATAATTATTTACCTAAAATATCTATAGGAAGCTTCCCACACTCTTCTTTGACTTTCTCCACAGCCTTTGATCCATGCGAAAAATCTGCCACGATTATTTTGGTTTTGACCGAGCATTGTCTCTCTAAAAAACATAAAAATAACGTTTCAGTATTTTTCATGTCCCATAAATATATCATTAAAATAAAATAATAGTGCTTATTTTGTAACAAAATGCACACTGCACAATAGAAAATTAAGTATGTTAAATAATATTTAATTAAATCTACATCTATTGTCAAGACAGAAATTGCCAAACATTTTTGAAAAATTGCTATGAACTTATGATTGCTATTACGTAAACGATGCGCAGACTTGGTAATAAAGAAAGTATACACGTACATATGTACATAGATGGATAAATTAATAAACAACTAATTGAAAACTTTTTGTATCCATGCAACATTAAAGTAAATAACAACGTAACTTTTCTTTCACAACAACACTTGTCGACAAAATGAAACTTTTTGTTTGTCTGAGGGTGGCCAATAACTATTATAGGGTAATTTGAGTGTCCTGATTTAAGAAATGACCTTTTACTTAATTGGCTCTTGTTTTTGCGATATCGTGAAAAAACTGTGATTTAGCGTCATTGTATAAATACATTCATTGTAGTTCAATGTTTAAAATAAAAATTAAATCATTCGAAGGGGAAATCAATCAGTAGTACTAAAATTGGTACTCATACTCTCCTCCTTATAGGAGGAACAGGGGGTAACTTTAAAAATTAAAATGGAACACCCTATTTTTTATTGCAGATTCGGATCATTTGACTAAAAATAGGTAGATTTTGTCTAAAACATTTTTTCATATTTGTAATAGATGGCGCTTTAATGAAAAAAAATCAATTTTGTTCGATTTTTTTTCTTATACGATTCTGCAATAATTTTTCTATAAAAATATTACTTTTTTTGATAATAATTATCTAATTAAATTAAATCTGATTTTTTAAACTAATATTTAAGTTTCCTTTGGTTTAAGTTTTATACATTATTTCATTCGGTGGTAATTATCAATTGCGCACCATGGTAACTTTTTACCTGCCAGCATTAAATCCTTTAATTTAAGGGATTATTGTACTATTTTTAATAAAAACACCTCATTTAAGGTTTAATAAAATATTAATTAATTTAATCCTAATTGAGGTATAAAAAATGGCATTTAGTTATAAATAATAATTTTTATTGAGGTATAAAGAAACTATTTATACATAGTTTAGCAATATTTAATCAATTTAGTTCGAAGATTAATTTGCAAACAAAAATACCTCCTTTCGTTAAGCAGTTATTCATAATGGATTTTTTAACAGTGGAAAAAAAAGTAGAAATTATTTTGATTTATGGAGAAGCAGGCAGGAATCTTGATGATGCTGTTGATATCTACGCTCAGCGTTTTCGGGAAAAAATTCCATCACGTACTTCATTTCACCGTACAGTCAAGCAGTTTACTACAAACGGGAGTGTTCAACCGAAAAAAAGAGTTCGTCGAGCAATAGTCAAAGGTGGAAATAATGAAATTAATGTATTAGCAGCAACGGCCGCTAATCCTCATGCAAGCAAACGAGAATAAAGGTGTTTCATTGGAAATTTTAAAGTTAATAAAATTTTTTCTTACCTTTTTCTGATTTTTTTAAAAGTGGTTGAGGCTTAGGTTAAAAATTAATTTAAAAATCTGAAACTTTCGCAGTACCTTCAGAAGAGTCAAAAAGTAAGAAAAAAATATATGCTAAGGTTAAAATTAAGTAAAAAATCTGAATCCTTGGTTCTACCTTCAGAAGAGTTAAAAATTTAAAAAAATTTGAAAAAAATGTTCTTAACTTTTTTTGATTTATTCTGTTGTTTGTTTTAAAATGGTCGGGGCTCGTTTGAAAAAATAAATATGATTTTTTCTTAACTTTTTTTTTTTTCTTTTTTTTAAGTGGTCGGGGCTCAGGTTAAAAATTAAGTGAAAAATCTAAAACTGTAGGAGTACCTTCAGAAGAGTAAAAGAATTATGATATTTTCTTAACTTTTTTTAATTTTTTCTGTTTTCAGGTTAAAAATTAATTAAAAAATCTGAAACTTCGGAAGTATACCTTCAGTTTATTGTTTTGTATTCAAAAATCCTGAAAATTGACATGTTTTTTGATACAACAAAGTTGGAACCCCGTTTTAATTACCTTCTTAGCACCTCAAGAATTTTCATTTGAAAAAAATAGTTGTCATCACAATTCCAAATATTACGCAAACCTAATTATATCCAGTGGTTTGTTTTCAATGCCTTCTGAGTACGCTTTAATAGTTGGCTTAGCGAAAAATGTTTAGAAACTGCAAGACCGCGATGTTGGGAAACATGAATGAGTAGATGCAGATCCATAAGAAATCGCATTATCCTTGGCATGCATTTCTAGTTACTCACTGCATCGCAACTGGCTTTTCAGCCGGTTTTTGTTGTACTGTACCTACTTTGTTTATTTACAGTACAAAAGTTTCGTTGAGGTCTTATTCCTTTGGCAGCTGTTTTAGATAAATGAGGAAATATTAGATAGAATCTACTACTTATTTTAAAATCCCAACTATTTTGACTTAAGATACCTTTTTTGTAAGGCATTTAATTCCTCAAAAAAAAATTTGAATAACCCTAATGTTTAGAAAATAAATCTTTAAATCAAAAAATGTTACTGAATTGCGTAATTTGATCATTTTACCACCTGCAGGTCTTGTTGTTTTATATGATAAAAATCTTTGAGTTGCATAATTAAATAAATAGTTGTTTTGCTTTTAAGTACATTGGATTTAAGTATTTTTAACTACATTTCAAACTAACTGTGAAATTCGTCTAGGGTAATCCTTCAGAGACGAGATTAAAAATCCTTTTTGTCGCAATCCTGTTTGGTTTCTAGCAATTACTAATTCCACTTTTACACTGTTTAAAATATCTGTGGTGTAAAGAGTAATCTTAAAATGGTGTCAAAATCCAACACCAAGTGATGTTAATATAACACCATGAATTATGGTTGAAAATGTTTTATACAGCAAACACAAAAGCAGTGTTTATCTAAAAATATTTGAGAAGTGCACCTACACAGAAAAAAGGAATAGTTCATTTAACTATATTAATTCAGTTGACCCATAAATATTTATTTAAATCAACTGTGGGAAGGTTTATGTAAACAAAGATTAGTTTGACGGTACTAAACCAGAGAGTTATTTTATTTTTTTTAAATTGGTTAAATTAACCCAGAAAACTTTAGTGAAACCAACCCGCTTTATGGTTCAGTTTACTAAATATGTTGTTTGTAAAATAAGAGTTACTTCAAACTAAAGCACTCTGTTAAAACGATTAAAACAATTTGCCGTGCATTCCTTATTGCATAGTGTGTACCGAATGAGGCAAAGGCGGTGTGGATCACGTGATGTTCTTAAATCTCGCCTCTGTTGCAGTAGCGTGTCAAATTTTTTGGGGGCCCCCCCGCGAACTTTTTTTTGAGGCCTCCTATGTCACTATTATATTTTCCAAAAATAACCCATAATAGTAAATATTTATACACAATATCATTATCTAATAGTTAAAAAACACAGCGAATTTTTGAAACTAAATACTCATTTTAATATTTTAAATATCAACTCAAAACTCAAACGTAACAAGTGAAAAAACAAAGACTCGCTAATAACCGGAAATTCCTATTAAAACGGGGAATAACATATGGGAATCACTGCAGTGATTCCCATAGGTTATTCCCCTGCTTAAAATACCCCATAGAGACCCTGTTCAAACCGATAGATATTTGTATCGGAATGTATGGTGTTTCTATATGGTGTATCGGTATGTATAGTACCCATAGTTGGGATTTATGGTTGTTCTATAGGGATTGATTTATTTGCTATTGGTTTCAATGGGGAAAATACACATAAATATAGAAATTAGGTTTTCCCCCATAGAACCCTATAAGTTTTAATAAAATTTTGACAAATGTCTTATGGTTGTTCTATAGGGATATCCCTATATATCCTTCATTGAGTTATTTGCTATCGGTCTCAATAGGAAAAATGTAAAAGTTATAGGTAATTTCCTATACATTTTCTATCGGGCCGTATTCGGAAAAAACCATGGACAAATGCACATATTGAATCCGGTATCGCCCGATAGATTATTTTGTATAGGTCCCTATGGGTTATTTTAAGCAGGGTGAGGTTTCGACCAGCCAGGGTTGACAATTGTTTGGGCGTTCACATTTTTTATGTTAGAAAGAAATGGTGACAAATTAAATATGGATTTGAAATGTTTAAGTGTGCATATTTGTATTTTTGGAGTTTGTTTGATACACATAGATATTACTTTTTCATAAAGTATATTGGGGGCCCGGGGGCCCCCAATATACCAGGGGCCCCCCCGCGTGGCGGGGTCTGCGGGGCCGTTTGACACGCGCCTGCTCTGTTGACTTACATGAAGAGTATATAAGCTCAGGTAGTTCTTTGCTTTCGTGTGACACTACAAGTTGTTCGATACTAAAGAGAACTTAAATAGGTGGAAACAGCTGTCAATATTTGAAGTATTTTAAGTTAGTGGAACGCACTAAAAACATTATCTCTAGCGAGTTGAAGGTTCAATTTTCTGGAATAATACAACTGGTAAAATACTTGTAATGCGTCAAGGAACTTCCTGTTTCCTTTTTTTTCTTTTTTTCTGTGTAGTATGATTTAATTTGACCAAAAACACATTATATTTAACACTGAAAAGGAGTTCAATTTACACCAGGTAAAATTTATTTTATAAAATAAATATATTAAATATAATAAATATATTATAATAGTGTCTGAAAGTTAAATTTACACCATTTTAGTATTTGAATTTACACTGGACCAACGAACCATATTTAACACCATTTTGGTTTGTATCGATATAGACCATACATGGCATGTATGGTGTTAATTTGGTGTTAAAATGGTCATGAAATTTTGAACAGTGTACGTACCTATTTCGCCGGCAGTATTCCGAAGTTTTTCTTCGTTTCTGCTGACTAAAACAACGTTAATGCCTCTTTCAGCCAACTCGAAAGCGTATGCCCTACCCACTCCATCAGTTGAACCAGTTACCACTGAAATATAAAAAAATGTTTAAATTTCCTAAAAACACTATTTGTTGTTATAACAACAAAATGGTATAGCAATCGACTTGAATTAGTTACTCTAACCTTTTATAAAATAAGATTTTAGACAGTTTGGTATATTTTGGATTATTCTGGTATTCGCTAATTCACACCTAATTCCAAGGAAAAGCTGAAAGGGGTTGGTGGTTTTAACCATTTAATTTAAACAAAATTAAGTAGTACTCCATGATGTACAGCATAAAAATGTGATTTAAAATCATTTTTGTTTTTTTAATTGTTTAATATAAGTGAAAGACTGAAAAACTGTATATATGAAACGCCCACTCCAAGTTTGGTCAAAATCGCTAATTCTAGGCTAGGTTTGGAGCTTTTTGACTAGTACTTTAAAAAATTTTCATAACTTTCCATAATTAAAAAAAATGTTAAAAATTAGTGTTCCAAGTACAATACATTATAATAAATATTAGCTTAACAATTGTCATTTTTTCCACCTGAAATTTTTTTGCAGTTTTTTAAATTTTTCTTAAAAAATTTTAGGATGAAATGTCAGCTTTATATTTTAACTAAATTTTGTTATTTTTTGTTAACATAAAATAACTTACTATAGGTACCCTAATTAAATAATTTACAGCTTTCTCTAGCACATAGGATATTCCAAAACATTCTCTGTTAAAATGAATTAGTCAAAAATTACTAATTTAATAGTTATTAGTGGCTGCTTTTTCACTTGTACCATGGTTAACCATGGAATACCACAGTATCCCAAAATTTATCAGCCAATTCTTATGTAAAATTGTCCCGTGAATCCTAAAATACCGTCAAAAGTTATAAGAGTGGAGCAGTTTTTGAGATATAGTCAATTCCATATTAAATGAAAAATTGACTAAATCTCAAAAACTGTTCTTTTTTTTAACTTTTTTTTAACTTTTGACATTTTTGGATTCAGGAGACAATTTTACTATGGTTAACCATGGTACAAGTGAAAAAGCAGCCACTAATAACTATTACATTAGTCATTTTTGACTAATTCATTTTTAGAGAGTTACCTATATGTTACTTTTGTTTTTTTTATCACAACAGGCTAGAATATTTTTAACAATATCAAAAATCTTAATTTACTTTCTATAAAAAATAATTTCTATTTAAAGCAAAAAACTCCCATGGGTGCACATAAAATGTTTGTTTCCGCATCAGTACCACAAACTATTTTTAAATATGTTATTTTTACGATAATCTATAGATAAATAGGTTAATTTTAATTTCTACTCACGTAGATTTACTTGCGTGTCATAAATAATACACATTACCGAACTCCATAGTAATTTTCAAATTTAATTTACATGGGTAGTTGGATTTTACAAATTTACATTCACATTCAATTGTTGTCAGCAAGGACAAAGTCCTGACGATGATTGAATTTGTAATACAAAATATTTTGCAGATAAATAATAGAAATTAGATAAAGCAATAATAATAATAATAATAAAACTTTAAAGTTTTAATACATGTTTCTATGACGATAAGTGATCTTTTAAATACGTATTGACAAGCTGTGACTTTATGGTGTTTTAGTCACGGACTGAAGTTGGATGCAGTTATAATGCATACAATAGTCAAATAAATTTAGCAGAAAATAATGTTAGAACAGTCAGTCAGATGACAGATTTTATTTGTTTTTGAAAATTATTTGATTTGTGTGCTCATCTTAATAATATACTATTAATAATTAATTAATTAATACATTCTTTACCATTATGATGGTATTGTAGTAGTAAAAACAAATTGTTTTAAACAATGTTTATAAATCGTATAAAACTAAACGTTTTTGGTGGGTAAATAGGTTATTTTAAATTCTGGAATAATAATGTTCTCATTTTAATTGTCATGCATGTCCCTTGTGTGTTTAATGCATGAATTTAAAGCAAAACAAGTTTTATTTTATTAATGCTTTAATATATTTACTTATTTACTTATTATAAAGGAACGTTGCTATAGCAAGTATACTTACTATATGATATTTTACAAGTTTGGAAATTTCTTAAACGCCATGATTTTTTATACTTACCACATTTCACAATATTATAGAATTATAAATTATAATTGATGTACAAATATAAATAGAAATTGTTTTTATGGTTTATGGTTAATTCAACCATTGAAGTGTTGAATTACGATTGCAAAAAACCTTTAACATTGTTTTTATTTAGTTTGTAATAAAATTTCTTTTAATAAAAAAAACAAGCGTAGGTATAACAACTTAATATTTTTAAAACCTAATAACAATAGTATTAACAATTCCTTGTAAATTTTGCATGCTGTTATTTTCAATTAAAAATTATTTATATTCATATGTTTGCTTTTTGATACAATTAAATAATTTCTTGAAATGTTAATTTATTTAAAAAAAAATTCAATAATATTTGGTGGCAGTGAATACAGTGCTGTGCATAGATATTTTTTTTAATCGGTAATATGAATTCTTAAAAATGTACTCTCAAAAACTGACATAGTAGGCTTTGGATTTTGTAAAAATATGGTATTTTTGCTTCAAAAGATCTAATTGTAATAACTTTTGAAAAAAAAAGTCTACATTTTCATCCAATGTGTGATTTTTTTTCGCGTACTTTTTTCTATGGTCGCCTTATTAAAAATTTCCATGGCTAGATAGAAAATTTAAACGCAAACATAATTTATGGCGGACATTATTCACTCCTTTTTTGCTCTCCATGACTTTTGAGACACCCTGTATATTTACATCAAAAAACCAAATCCTCATTAAAAAACAAAAATTATACATTACATGGACAATTTAAAAATTGATAAAATTTAAACGTATCTTTTTTTGATAGGTACTTTTAAACCAAATAATCATTTGTAGTAAAAATTAATTTTAAATTAGTATAATTTCCAAATTTAATTTAATTTGTGTTTTTGTTGCCTGTCATTTTTATTATAATTTCAAAGTATTGTAAATCTTAATTAATTATTAAAATTTAATTAACAAATGCAACTGCTTGATATATGTATTAATAAATAATAATTACTACTATATAGTAATTAACACACCAAATAAAATCAACAATTAATAAATAAGTATGGAAAAATGATTTACAACAAAACAAAACATACATTTAAAATTAATTTCACACAACAAATAATAATTTATTATAGCAATATAAACTATTTTTATGGTTACACGAATATATAAATTACGAATATAATATCAAAAAATCGGTAGCCTAGATTTACGTGTGGTAATGAATAATTAAGTAATAATTTTCAACTTGTTCATTATTAACTTATTATTACAAGCTTTAATAAACCGTGCAATTTATAGTTGCTGGTTTAGCACTCAAGATCAATGTTATTTCAATAAATAGTATATTATGTATATAGTTTGATAAACGCCATCTTAGAATTTAGGTATATGGTATGTTATATGAATTATGCTTAGAATTTTACAAGGAATCGAAAAATAAATTCATATATAGGGTGATCCATTGAGAAAAAATAAACTTTTTCTTTTTCCCTGTATACTAATCAATTTTCATAACCACAATTTTAATTTTTTTGGGACACTTAAAATAAAAAAGTTAAATTGGGCGACATTATAGGGTATCACCCTGTACAAAAGTGACAGTTGTATTTATTGGAATTCCCGTTATAATTTTTAACTTTACCGGCGTTAAAATCTCAAACTTTTCTGTGTAAATCAAAATTTATCCCTTGAAAATAGACTAACAATCAATATAGAAGCAGTTTTCACAGAAAAAGAGAAGAGAATGTTTCATGCGCACTATATGCAAAATTTTTAACGCTTTATAAGTTAAATCTAGTTAACTATACGGCGAAATCAAAATGTCATATAATCTTTTCAAATATTGGCGCCAAGAAACTATTTAATACTTTTGAATTTTTGTATAGGGATAATAAAATAATTTTCACATTTATTATTATTTTACAAGATTATTTTGTTTAAATTCAATATTAATTTTTTAATTATTTTTATGCTTCATTATTATTATTTAATTACCTAACAAGGGTGTTTAACAACTTTAACAGAAACATACCATTAGCTTCAAGAAAAATAATTATTTATGCTCAATGTTGTAAAAACTGTCGAATAAGTTATAACACCCTGTACATTTTACTAAGACTATAATTACAAAAACTCACATGCCCATTGTCCGTATTTTTTTACTAAGGAAGTTTCTTCATTTGGTATAAAAAATGGTGCTAAAAGGGCTCTACTAAGCTGAAGTATGCTCCATATTAAGTCCAAGAAGAAGAAGAACAACACTACCACTCCTAAAGCTGCCAATGCCAACATATACATGTCGTAAGACATTTTAATCTAAAAATAAACAAGAGCATTTAGTATATAGGAATATATTTTTTTGTGTATACATATTTATTTTTATTTGTAGAGCTACAGGTCGGATATATTGGAAAAAATTGCATGATTACAAGCCTACTAAATTGATATTTAAAAATTAAGAAAAAATCAAATAATTTGAAAAAAACTGAAAACCTGTCGAAACCAAAAATGGTTATAACTTTGTTATTCCTGTGAAGTTTGAAAAAGAAAGTTTTACTTTGGTTTTGACAGTTTTCAGGTCTTTTTCAAATTATTAACCGCTATTATTATTTTCAATTTTTTATTTTCACCTTCATAGTAAATGACATTTTATAGGTTAATTTTGTTGTTTTTGTATCCATGTAAACGATACATTATGGAAACAGACCTGTAATATTTTACGGGCTTGTATAAAGGACCTGTAAAGTTTTACAGGCTTGTAGAAAAGCAATTTATGTAATGAAATGTCACATTTGACATATTAATTAATATTTTAAATTTGAAAATCGTTATCTAAAGGTGAAAATAAAAGTTTGTACGTGTCACGCTTTGCAATTAATCTTTACTAGACTCACTGGATTATGGTGTTCGCTCCTGCGTCGCTCACCCCACAAACTTCCAGCTCGCCCGTAAAGATTCATTTACAAAGCTTGACACGTAAATAACTATAAATGGCTAAAGTTGAATAATTGAATAAATTAATTAATAATTTATTTTGTGTTCACATTTAAAAGGATTTTTTATTCATAAAAAAATGTAGGTCAAACATTTTAAAATTTAATTATATTTTCTCAAGATCCAAATTCGATAGAATCTGACCAAATTAATGTAAATATTAATACATGAAGATCTTTCACTTTCTAAATATACGAATAATTTTTACTTACGGCGACGAATATTAAAGAATTTCAGTTAAAAAACTACACATGAGTTATTTACCCTACTCTCTAAAAATGAATAAGTCAAAAATGACTAATTTAATAGTTATTTTTACTTACGGCGACGAATATTAAAGAATTTCAGTTAAAAAACTACACATGAGTTATTTACCCTACTCTCTAAAAATGAATAAGTCAAAAATGACTAATTTAATAGTTATTAGTGGCTGCTTTTTCACTTGTACCATTATTGACTAATTCATTTTTAAAGAGTATAACTAAAAAATGAGTAGGCACTGTAAAAACATATTTGTCCTTAAAAAATTTATTTTTTACATTATGTTTAACCCAATATTTTAAAATTTATTTTACAGTGTGACCCATTTGTTTGCGACCCCTGTAAAATCTTTATTTATTTTGCGATTTTAAGATTTTGATAAACTATTTTTGGAGCAAATAATGCCATATTTTTAAAAAAACAAGGCCTACTAAGTCAGTTTTTGAGAGTAAATTTTTAAAAATTCAAATTAGCGATTTAAAAAAAATCTATGCACGGTAATGGATTTACCAAAAAAAAACGACCCTCTACCAAATTTTATTGAATTTTTTTTTTGCCAAATTAAAAATGAACAATAATAATTCTGTCAAGTTATCAATGAAAAAATTTTTTAAATAAAATTAAACTAATATCTAGTACCTAACATGGTATAAATATTCTTAGGCTTAGTTAAAACAAATAAAAAACGCAATTTAAACAGAGATTCCCTACAATTACATTTTTGTCACCTCTACTAATCCACCATTTATTTCAATAAAATCTAACTGTAGAGAATTTTTTGAATTATCTAGTACTACATTTTCGGGACACTCTGTATATGTCATTAAATCTAAAAGAAATAAAAACTCGTCAAGTAAACTTTTACTTTTTATTATAAATTCGCGCTGCAAAATCATCCAAACAATAAATAACAGTTATGCAATTTTAAGGTTACTGGCATAAGTTCGTTGCTACTGAGCGCAACAAAAGTGTAAGTTTATCTAGGTAGCCTTGATCGTAGAAAACGGTACTGGTTAATAAACTCGTAAACGCGTAAAACGTTCACAATCTTTTATTCCTCAAATAAAAATTTATTGATGACAACCGCGCCTAAATTTATATTAGTAGCGTGAATATTATTATTTTTTGTTTCTTAAATTGTGTAGCCTCTTGCTATGAAATTAGAAATCGAATTTTTTTGTTTATAGAGGCTTTTAAAAGGTCACGTTTTGTAAGACTACAAGCTATCATTACCTCTCCTGTATGCAATGAAATGGCACATGCATTCTCAACTTGTAACTGGTTAAAAACATGATAAAATAAAAACGTTTAAGATATAAAAAACATTAATTAATTATTATTTAATTAGGTTTAATTTTGTTTAAGTATTTTATTACGTAATGTGTCTTTTTTCCGGGGGAATAAAAAATAGATTCCTTTAAGCATTGCATTTTATATTTCACAATAAGACAATTAATGTCGATTGCAGAATAATTTAAACATGTGTCTTTAATTTTGTACCGTAACACGTGTTTAGGACCTTTTACAAATAAAATTGTCTTTACAGTCTGTTTTGTATTCGTCGTAGATAAATTTTGGTATGCAACTCTTTTATAAACCTCTCTAGACACTCGTTTTTATTAAACACTCGCTCGCAAGCTTCGCTCGTGCTTAATTAAGCTCGTATCTAAAATGGCGTTTATACATTATATACTATTTTAAGCAACCACTCTTTTAAGTAAAATATTTGAGCTTTTCTGATTTTTCTGAATTTAGTAAGTAAATATGTCGTTGAATTAACCTTAAAGTAAAAAATCTTGACAAGTTTTTTTTTACTTTCTTTAAAGTTTTACATCTCTGAAGTATTTTAATGATTATTTAACGTCATTTTTTACGAAAAAAATTACTTGCAAGTTATTTTATTTTAGGATATTTTTAACGGTAAATTTTACTCATAAGTGTTATTTTTACTATTTTAAAACCACCTGATAACCGTAAATAATTCCTATTTGTCAATAAAACTTTTTATTCTTTAAATTGGCCTGAAAAAACATTAATAATGACTTAAAAAATAACTTTAAGTAAAAAATAAAACTACTTTAAGCAAGGGGTATATTAAATTATTGAAGATTAAATAAATCATCATTTTTTACAAATCTTTTAGGAAAAAGTAATTCATAATATTTTAATCAAATTTAAAAATAATTTTTTTCACCTTATTCCATTAGGTATGTAATTTTTTCGATTTTCTTTATTTTTTCAAGTTATATATTTATTTTTAAGACTAAAAAAGGGCATGTATTTTTTATTATGTATTTATTATAGCTATTTTTATCAAAGACGTTTGATTTTTAATGCTAAATTTACCTAGTTTTGTCAATATAAGTTGTATTTATTATATTATATTTATATATATAGGTTATTTTTGGTCGCTTTTATGGTTAGTATATAGTAAAAATAACGTAATAAACCGTTCGCCATATTTGGTCAGTTTTCGTATTTGTTCCGTTATTTTACCGTTTTAGTTTAATCTAAATATAACTTATAAGTAAAAATTTACTTATTTTAACTTAAAATGCTACTTGGGTATGTTACTATAATGTTTTTATTTAAAAATATATGCATTAAAAGATGTGAACCAAAGTGTCATTGTCCTGTTATGTTTGTTTTGGATTTTTGCTTGGAAAGGACTTAAAGACGTCGGTTCAATACTAAAATACAATTGTGGTTTATTCGACGCCATTTTTTGGTTCACATTTAGCACATTTCCATCGGTCTAAATACTCGTCCCCTTTTTTTCCTTGTCTAAGATATAAAAGGATAAGAAATAATTTTTTAAAATAAATAGATAATAAAAATAAAATCTGTTAATAATTGTAAGTAATGATGATTTTAAGTTTTTACTTTTGAAACAAATTATCAGAAAACTGTAGCTGTAGCTGCTTGAATTAATTCCACAACAACATCGTGATATTTTAGCTTATGGAAAACAATGTTTTGATACTTGTTTATTCGTATCTAATTACGGCACTGAGTATAATATTAATATTAATATAAGAATTCTTGATTGATACTTTATTCGTATCTAATTACAGCATTGCCTATAATATTCTTGATGGCTCATTGCACTTTTAAGCCTATGTATTTGCACACTTTAAAATATGCAACTGACTGGATTTTGCAATTGTTGCTTTATGACTAATTTTAAAGTATACATCGACATTTCAGTGCTAATGGAATTACCCGTATAAAAGTATGTACTAATGAGCCTAATGATTTCTTGCACATACGTTTATATGTACCCACTTAAATAAATGTCAAATTTAATGAAATTATTGAGGTAAGTACTTGGGTCCATTTTGAAATATTGATTGTAAACAAATAACTTTGTTTTATTTTATCTTCTATAGTAATCCTACATTATAAATCATATGTAGATACCTTTTAGTTTCAGAACCTATGTGGTGCTTTATTAAGTAACGAAAATTAATTTTTTAGTTAGTTTGTTAATAATTGAGCAAAGCACAAAAATGCTCGTCTCGTTATAAATTGAGGTTAGATAGCTTCAGAGCCCTCAGGAGTTTTCGAATTTTTATAGACTAGGATGTAAAAGACTTCATCTGGTTGGTCTAAATTATTTTTAGAGCCTAGGCTCAAATTAAATACTTTTGTATTAGGCGTTGAGAATGTAGTATTCATTTTTATTTATATTTAATTATTAAATCCAAAATATTAGTGCTAAACTTATTAAATTTTATTAAAATGTTTGGCTTTCATAATTTAAAATTATTTTTGCTATTTATTTTTAAGTATGTCATGTAAACACACCTAAACAGGATTTACATATGTAGATTTTTATTTTTGGACATTATTCCCAAACTTTCTTTAAAATTATATAACACAGTCAAATAGGTATTCAAATTTTCAATACTTTAAAATTTATTATTAAATAATATTTTGTTTTTTATTCATTCAAAATATCCTAAAGATTTTAAACAATCTTAATTTATTAAGTACAAGGTTCAACGAAATAATTAATTAATTATAAATTGAATTAAAATGTCACTTTTTTTCTTGCAAAACATATATTTACTTTATATTATAAATAAATTTAATGTAACAACATCATTTAATTATTTGTTTAAATTGTTTTAAATTTAGGGTACGTTCCACGAAATATAATATGAGAAAAAGGGTAGATATTGCAAGAGAAAAATCTAGCCTTGTTCCAAAATAAACTAGGACATACGTTTTCCAAGGCATATGTGATTTATCCAGTTGGTGTTCATTGAAGGGTCTCTACTAGAGAAACAAGAAAGTAATGACTTTGAAATTAATTAATGATAATGCATATACATAATTATCTACGTGAATATTTACTTACAAGGTAAATAATCTTAATTTATGTGCATGGGTATTTTCACTTAAAATTTAATATGAATTTTGTTCTACATAAACTAAAATACATCATGAACGCTGCTAGGGAATTAATGCACAATTTTTGTATTTGCACTTTGTACATAAATATTTTGTTGTATTTATAAAAATTCGATTTGTTTTGAAATTTGCAGTCAATGCCATTCCAAAAATTTTGCTTAGTTCGCTTAAAGGTATGCTTTTACAAATTTTGCAATACCCATAGGCTTACAAAACTTTTGACAATAAATTTAATAGTGAGTTGTTTCCATGGTTGAATTATGTACAATACTTGTTTTATTACACATAAAACATTTTTATAATGAATAAAAAATAGTTCATATGTATATTATTACAATTAATTCAGAATACATTTTGTTTATAAACGAGTTATTGTTATAGTAATGAAAACATAATTTTCTAAAGGTTATTATTATTTCTTAATTTTGTTATGTAAATATAAGTCAACTATGATTTATATATGTATAATAAATTAATACCATTTTGACTAAATCCAATTAATAATTTAAGGTAGCTTATTAATTAATTTAAGTTTTGATACAACTAAATAAAAAAAAATAGTTGCATTTTTGGCGAATGCTCCGGGGTTAATTAGTATATATTATGTAACAAGTTGCATTAACGGTATTTTAGTCCTAAGATTTAGTGTTTAGTAAACGAGTTGCATACCTTCTTAACGACAAACACAAAAATTAAATAATTTTCAAAAATCAATAAAATCTGACATCTTACTCTCTAGTCGCTTTATTTTGACGATTGTATGACATTTGAAAACTGCAACTAATTTCAGCTTTTTATTAATCACTCGCTCGCAAGCTTCGCTAGAATATCGTTTATAAAACTTGATACATAATATTCTATTCAAAATAGTGGTTGTTTTGATCTTTTTTTTTAAACAATTTAGAAAAATGATAAAGTTATAGGTAGGTGGGTACTACATAAAATATAGTTTAAATTACACATAAAACAGTATTATTACTTTAAGTATAACATGTTCAATTTTTCGTTTAAATTTATTTCGATATTTTTGCATTAAAAAATAAATCGTGTTATATTGTTAAAAAGATACCTACCTTAATAATTTTATTTTTTCGATGGAACACCCGGTATATTTTTTGAAATTTTATACCATTGGAAGGAGTTTTTTATTTTTCTGTCAACAAAAATACTTTTAGATATCTCTTTAAATAAAGATTTTAGATAAATAGGTAGATATAATTTATATAAAATATATTCTTTAAAAAAATTAAATAGTATATATTTTTTTGTAAAATATTACCATATGAAATATATAAATGCAAATTAATATTAATAATAATATTAGTTATACAGGGTGTTTTACATTCGTTCTAATAACTTTTTTTATTTTAAATGTAAAACCCGGTATGTTTGAAATAATCAATTTAATTGAAGTTATTCTGTATACCCAAAGTTAATAATTTCAGAGATATTAAACAGTTTCTAAAATTTTATTTTGTATTTTGTGACGGGTTATTTTTCAGGTATGGTGGAATTTAAAAATGTAAAAATATATGGGGTTTTCTATTTAAAATAACAAAGTTAAGGCCGTTTGTCCAAAATATTTTAGAAAAATAGACCTTAATGGATTATGAACGCTTTTAAAATTTCAAATCGATATCTTTTTCCGTTCCCCAGAAACTTCTTATGAACCAAGAATGTGAAACACTCTGTATAAAATAAAACATTACAAAACATTTGGAAAATATTAAACAAAAATTGTTTTAACTCGCCCACAACAAACAATTTCTCCTCAAATTATACAAATGTTAATGCAATTATTATTATGTTTTCAACCAAAATACTTTCGAAATATTTTAGGAACATTTTAAATTAAATTAGTAAATTATTATGTAATTCTTACCTTATAAATATATTAATAGAAAAACATTTGCCACTTTATCACAAAAAAAAACAACTGCTACTATCGCTAAGCAGTAACCAGGCAATGAATAATTAAATAATAGAACAATACAATCACAGTGGTTATAAATAAAACAATGTCGATTGCCGGCCCCTGCCACGATGCGTTGATTAGTGTGCGTCGACAATGCACGGATAAAGAATCGCCGGAAAACATAAACGCATCGTACGTTTTGACCCCCGATAAGTGCAGATAATTCCCCTCTTGATTTGCCGTGGCCGTCAATGTGGACTGTCTTGTACAAGAGCGGGCCCCTGCCTGTACCACTTTGCAGCACATAATAATAATAAGTGGTACAGTTGAACAGAGAAAGTGGATTTCTTACGAAATCGCGTTTTGGGATCCCCGCACGTTTTTATAGATCTCTTACTATCAAGATGCCTAGCGTTAGAAAAGAAACGCTGGTTTTAAATGTTAAACAAATCAAAATTTTATGTAAGAAAATAAAATTTTATTGTCAAGCATCAATGTATTTGATTATCTCCTAGGCTATAATAATAGTCATTTTTGATGCTAGATTTAGAAACTGTATCCCACATTTTATGAATTTCTAAAAATGTCAAGAATTTTTTTTGAAACGGATTTAAAAGTATTTTGCGTACAAGTCTTTTATCTACTACATTGACATTGACTTTATGGCGTTTTAGTCTGAAGTTAGTAATAGTGGCTTTTGGGCACTTTAGTCACGGGCTAAAATAAGCCTTCAGTACTATAAATTGCGAAAAAGTAAGATTAAATTCGCCAAATGTCAAATATTCAACAATTAAAATTGGCTTAAAATTCTTCTTATTTGTGTTCGTCGTAGATAAAGTATAGTTTGCAACTCGTTTTAGAAACTTCTCTAGACACTCGTTTTAATCAAACAATCGCTCGCAAGCTTCGCTTGAGCCTGATAAAAAATTCGTGTCTAAAATGGCGTTTATAACTTAATACATTATATACTATTTTTAAATTGTAATTAGAACTTTATTCTATATTCATATTGTTTTTTTTTGTTATAATTTTTTAATAACTCTATTATTATAAACTCATTTTTTGCTATTATTTTTTCATTATTTCATATCTATTCTTATAAAAATTGCATTTTAATTATATTTATATTATTATATAGAAGTTAAAACAGTTGTCTAAATTAAGCGTTTTAGGACAGTATTATTGATTTAATTAATAAGCATTTAACTTTAAATAATTTGGCAATACTGTGTAACTGATAATCATAAAAATTAATCATCTGAAAGGGGTTGTGTCAAAAATCTAAATACACTTTGATATTATTGACAAAATAATTTTAAATAAAAAAATAGAATAGTCTAAAATATTAAAATTATAAAAATAAGATTATATTTTAAATTTAAATTTTATTATATTTTCTACAGTATATAATTATATTTTTAAAATCATCATTGTTATGGTTTACTTTAATTACAGTCAAATTTCAAAACCTTTTTAGTAATATTTAATAATAGAAATTTATATAATCAATAAAAATTTAATTTTAATTTAAAGTTTTATTTATGGCTAATTACTTAAATTGCATAAATTTATTGTTTAATTAGAAATTATATTTACAAACAATTAACATTTTTAAATAATATTTACATATTTTTACGTAAAATATTTTATTTTTAGAAATCATCGGATAATAATAATAACAATGCTGAAATCCATTAATTTCTTTTAATTTTAATTAATAGTATTTTAAACGAATTTAATTAAAATATTAATTTAATTGCCCTTACGATTGATACAATTATTAAAATTGGGACAAAAATGCTTTTGTAAATATTTAACATTTAGAATGCGACAGGTGAATATTACAAGAATTTTATCCTTGAAATAATTTTTGCAAACGCCAAATCAGTCAAAATCAAATATTACCGATATTTAAATAAAATATACATCTGACATGAATAACAAAAAATCGTAGATTTAAGGTTAGGTATCTGTCACTGAAATTTTTACAATAGAGGTTATTTATAATATATATATATATTATAATTTATAATATAAATAACCTCTATTCTAAAGATATTATCTAAAATTTTAGAAATTGTTAATAGTTATTTACGATATAAGTGGGATAAGAGCTTTATTAACGTACGCATGCGAAATCGCAAAAGTACGTTAATAAAGCGTTATCACACGTATATTGTACAAATTTTTATCTACGCCTCTAAATGAAAAAATAAACGGTAATTATTTTTGTCTAAGACTTAATTTAGGGTTATTTTGACATTTTGACTTTTTTATTTGATTGGTTAAAAGCAGAGAAAAACGCGTGCGTTAATGAACTTCTTATCTCACTCAAAATGAGTGAGATAAGAAGTTCTTATCTCACTGGCGTAGATAAATATCTTTTAAACAATGTTTTAAGATTCCAAAAATTTTACCCCCATATTCGCAGACCTAATAACAAAAAAGTTATAGTCTATTTTTGATTGACGCGTATTCCTCAAATTTTAACGAAATAACTAAATATCTCGAAAACTATTCACTTTGGATTTGATATAGTAATTTTAATCATAATTTTATGTAGAATTTAAAAATGTAAAAATATATGGGGTGTTTTATTTCAACGATTGTATGACATTTGACAACTGTCAATTAACTTAAAGCTAACTTCAGCCCGTGACTACTAACCTGTTGCTAACTTCAGCCTGTGACTAAAACGCCATAAAGCCACAACTTGTCAATGTGTATTTAAAAGGTCATTTATGGAAACATGTAGCATAATGGGCGTTATGTTTTTAGGTTATGTTATTTTTTTGATCGTGTATGACAAAGATGCAATATTTTCTTGCAAAGCGTTGGTTGACAGGGTTTTATAAATAAAAACATATTATTTAAAATATATTTATTGCTTATTTGGGAAGATATATTTTTAATAAAGAAATTTACAAAAAAATTTAAATAACACAAATACTTACATTGTCAGCAATGAAAGGTATTTAACAAACCTACAAAACCATAAATTTACTAAATACTTTGCATTGCTGGCTTAACAACTGTTTTTACAAATATGAACGATTTTAAATTAGGTAGGTAGTTATATTTTAATAGTTAATAAGATCGTATCCACTAAAATTGTAAAGCTAAAATATATACAGTTCACTCTTTTATAGTATAAATTTAAGGCAATACGTTATTTGGTTCGACAAAATTCACCTGTCCTAAACAGGTAGAAACAACAGTTAGGCAACCTAAAATACATTTATAATACAGCACAGGAGTTACGAGGTATGTCGCTTTACACAATAAATCATAGTTTAATGGCTTAAGCTATGTTTACTTATGATTAAAACTATTTATACTATAAAAAGGTCGTCTGTCTATCACACAATTTTATAAAGTCCTCAGTCAAAGCTTAATTCGTTTATAAAACGAACAAATCACTTTATTTGATTAAAAAACTAAATATTGTTAGCGTTAGTAAAGTCACTAGTATCGACATTGGAAGTGGCTTATGCCTTCCACCGTGATTTTTTTCACTTCCTGAGTTGTCCAGCTCGGGCATATCAGGATTTACATGAGCAGCTAAAAATTAAGTAGGTAATAAGTTCCAGGTCCTAAGTAATTTGAAAGAAGGCACATTTAAGATGAATTTATATTAAGCTAAGCTAAATGAATCTTATAACTTTTGATCATAATTAATAAGGATTCACGTATTGTATGCTCTAAGGTATATCCATGTTTTATATACTCTAAAGTATCGAGATAATTTTTTTTAAGTACCTACGCAAAATTATGATCAAAAGGCTTTAAAAAATATGCAAGCTAAACAAAATAAAATTGACTTACAAACTAAATGGTATAAGAGACAACACATACTTATAAATGGTTTTGTTCCGGCCTTGTTTTCTACAGTTTGGCAGGCCTCCTGTAGTTTTCTGGAATGTATCCGTTTCCATTAAAATATGTCGAAAGGATTCGATCAACTAATAACAACATTATACCAATGTTAAACCCATAAGCGAGGCCTCATTTTAACTCGATTTTTAATATTGTTATGGGTCAGATAATTATTTGATTTGATTAGTGCGTTTTTAAGCAAAACATTGCAAACCTTGGACAACAAAGTTCTTTAAAATCCTAAGTAAATTATTTTCATATACTGTATATACTTTTTTTATTTTAAATAATATGTTTATATTTTCTTTTGAATCAAAAAAGTATTTTCATTTATAATTTTATAAAAATAAGAGTGTGATATGTTTCAAGTTTTATGGCAATATTTTTTTTTTGAAAATAAACTTCAACTACTAAATTTTCCCGATTAAAAACTGAGACACCATGTATATTAATATTACATAAAGCATTAGCAATTAACTAAAATTTCTCTTCTCAGAACATACAAAATAGGTGAACTAAAAGATTTTATCCACTCCTATTGCATAATTTTGTGTTTTTTCCGTGAATATTGATAAACATTAGAAATTCCCTGCCTAACAACGGGAATAATGAACTCATTATTCACGTTGTTATGCATTAGTGATTGGCCGATTTCAATTATCTACTTATTGGAGTTGATAAAGTATAATATTATACTATTTAAAAACAATAACATAACCTTGATTTTTTACTAGTTTCTAGTGTTTTTTTTAATGTAGTCAACAATAGCTAGGTTTAGTAACTATGTTTTTCAACATACATCCTACATTAGACTGGGCCAAAAAAATTATGGTGAAAGTTTGAGTCCATAATATTAATATTAAGTACTTATATCATCGCAATTTTAGATTTTTTTTTCCTGGGCGAGTTTTTGTCTCAGAACTCCCAAATCATTGATTTTACAAAATTGACTTAAGAATATTTTTTGAAGAAAATTGAATGCTCTACAAAAAAGGTTTGATTGGAATTTCCCGTCAGATGAACCCCTTTCTTACAATCATGCCTTAAAAATTGGTATAGTTTTACAATTTGATCTTTTAACATTGGAATTTTGTAATTCAAGTAAAAATCGATAAATATTCTTATGGAAAATCAAATTCTCTACAAAAAAAGTCTTTTATCATTTTTGGCTAAATTCTCAAGTCAAAACGAAATTTTAACCTTGAATAACTTTTGATTGAGTGAATTTAGCCAAAAATGTTAGGAGGCTTTTTTTGTAAAGCATTTTATGGGTACTGATTTTTACATGAATTACAAAATTCCAATTTAAAAGATCAAAATGTAAAACTATACCAATTTTTAAGGCACGATTTTAAGGAAACGGTTCATCTGACGGAAAATTCCAATCAAACCTTTTTTGTAGAGCATTTAATTTTCTTAAAAAAATATTTTTAAGTCAATTTTGTTAAACTCAATGGTTTGGGAGTTGTGAGCCTAAAACTTGCTGAGGAAAAAAAATTAAAATTGCGATGATAGACCTCTTAATATTAGTATTATGGACTCACACTTTCACAATAATTTTTTTTGTCGCCCCAAACCATATTTTCGATATACTTTTCAAAAAAAAAAATTGTTGATTTTTTGGCCCAGTCTACCCTACATAAAGGTATATCATAATACTTATAAAGAACTTTATGTCATATTTTATTTAAAAAATGTTTTAGTTATATTTACAAATTCATATTTGTTAGTTTATAAAATACTGGTACGCCAATGATTATGATGATGGTAAATGATAAAATTAAATGACGATTTATAATTATCTGATTCATACCAATAATAAAATCATAATTACAATAATATTTCATTTAATTTAAAATGTATGAAGTAAAAATAAATATTTCAAAGTAAGAAAAAGAATAGATATAAATAATAGTCGGCATGCATCGCAGTGCCGTGCGTTATCTAGTTTGTCTACTTCTATTCTATTCTATTCTAGCCGTGCAGAAACCATTTAAAGGTGATTGGTGAAGGTGAAATTAATGATTGTGCAAGAAATTGTTCGGAAAAAGTATTTTTCCAAACAATTGTGTTGATTAATTTTTTGAAAATTATGGTTTTTGTACCAAACTGTACTTCAAAAAATTAAGTCAACAAAGCTAGTATTTGTTACTGGTTATATTTTTCAATAAGCAGGAACAAATATTTTGTTAAAATTAATGTGCAGGTTAGTTTAAGCACCGAAGGTGAGTCATGCATTAAGAAAGCTAAATATATTTTTGATACATACTTGATGAGGAGAGCATTATTTTTATTAATTTTATTATTATTAGCTATATTAGTAGTTTCCAATTATTAGCGCCAAAATTTTATGTTATGGAGATTTATGAAGTAGGTAAAGTTACAAATACATGGTATCACCTAATAAATTGTCAACTTTTGGTGTTTTTCCTCTATTATTTTTGCATTAGAGCTACTGTTTTTCAATAAAAAAATTATAATTTTTTTTTGACAAAACTACTGGATATCACTTATCACTGGATATCATTATTGTTTTTACCCAAGCAAAAAATAAACCGAAATCGTCCGGGTATGATAGCAAAATCGACACATCATAATTTTCTACGCCGCTGTCAATTTTGTGTGGATAATAACGGCGAGATACTTGAGATTTATTATGATTTTGAGAAACACTTGAAAAAATAGCTACATGAGCATCAATCGACGAAAAATTGAAATTTTTATATAAACATAACAACTTTACTTCAAATAAAATAAATTGTTAAATATTTATTAAAGATAAATTGCTGTTTTAGGTAATTTTTTTTATTTCGTTTTCGTAAATATCATATAATTCATATATTTCTTTCTCGGATTCCTCAACCCGTTTCTGGATTCTGAAGGTTTCCTTGGTCTGACTTCTGAAATAGTTTGTTGCAAATATCATTAAGTTTGGTATCTCTAGTTTGTGAAGCATTTATAATGTTTAGGCCGGAACAGGATGATTTATATATCTAATATTTTTTCGGGTGGTATGTTAAAAGTATTTTCCGAATTTATTAATTTTGTTGCCATTAGTTTTTTATGTTCTCTATCATGCACTGTATTTAAATCACTATTATTCTGCAAGATGTCCTGTGACGAAGAAATCACTATATTACTTACTCTCTAAAAATGAATTAGTCAAAAATGTCATAGCGAAAAAGCAGCCACTAATAATTCTCGTCAACAGCAATTTGTATCCAGGACATTTAGCAGTCAATTCCTATGAACTATTATTCGCTGAATCCGAAAATGTCGTCAAAAGTTATATAAGTAGAACAGTTTTTGAAATATAATCAATTTTACATATAATATGGAATTGACTATATCTCAAACACTGCTTAACTTTTATAGTTTTTGACGGTCTTTTCGGATTCAGGGGACAATTTTACATAAGAATTGGCTGGTAAATGTCCGGGATACAAACAGAGTATGATATTGGACATATGTCCAATAGTAGAAATTTACATTTTTTACCAACCAGTAATTGGACACTGGCTATTTTACTGTTGGTTTTCAAAATTAAAATTAAAACGCATTAAAGTGACAATGTTTAAACCATGAGGAACATATTTATACCACACACTGATCTGTACACTTTTTAGAAATATTTTTTATTGTAATTTAAACACAGCCCTGCTCTTAACAAAAATCTTACCACCAATTAATGATTTTTTTATTAAAAACAATTGCACTAATGCAAAAATTAGGAAAAACTTTCTTATTTTATCCCCTTAAAGGATGACAACTTATTTGGTGACACCCTGTATAGCTATAGCTGTAAAATATGAGATGTTCCAGAATGTTTTGCATTTTGTCAGCCAATATCAGGGTATGATTTTTAAGTTTTATCAAATTGATCAGTCAATGATTAAAAAAATCAGTCTAGAATCTAAAATTGCAAAACATTCTAGTAAATCATAAGGTATAAAAAATTAGAACAGGTTCAGTCTACTCTACAATGCATATAGAGGTTGAAGAGAGCAACCAAAATTTGAAACTTTATGGACTGGTTGTCGGGATAAAATCGAGACGTACCTGCATCTTGCGTGTCGCGTATTTCGCCGGAAAAGCTCTCCCCATCAAGCAACCATCCGCGGCGAGCCTCACTTGTTCCTATGGTGCCTTTCGGCGCGTCAGTGCACCCGAACCACCAATAGGCCGTCGCCCTGGGGAATTTCGGTTCAACTGCGTCCACTGCAAACGCCCTATCGTTAAACCTAAAAAAGAACACAGTATAAATTATAACACTATGATAGTTTTAGAAACTTTTTTTCCTAACATTGAGTACTCCAGCTTAGTTTAACTAATTTTTGGCCGCTGATTTCAAAAATGTTATTCGTTTTTCTCTAGGTCGTCTAGGATTTAAAATAATTTCGTAATAAAATGCTCTTCTCAATCACCTCAAAATGTAAGTTTTTAATTATTTATTAAATTATCGATCATATTTATTTTAACAATATGACATTTTAAATACTAAAACTAAAATTTTATTGTATTTATGTAAAAAAACAACCATTATTTTTTTATCGTTTATTTTAATTATTGAATTGAAAGGGCAACAAGTTTCGGTATTTGTTATCCAAATTAAGCCCACAAAATTTAATGCATTGCATAATTTTGCTTTTTTCTACCTTAAATTTATTAAATCTTATCAAATATCGAACTGGATTATAGTATTATTATGCTTAATCCTCATCATCGTCGTACATCTTTTGCTGCAAATTTCAGCAAATGTCTCCTAGCAATGAATCCAACTTCTTTCCGCTATACCTATAGATATCTACCAACGCTCTAGATTTGCAGTTACTTGTTGAAATCGTTCTCCATGTTTATCAGTTCGGCAAATTTATCAGGATAAAAATAAAGAAAATGTATTTTAAATGACATATTAACTCTAATTCTTTACAAAACGAGGAGCATTTTTTCAATGAATAGGCGCCATTTTCAATGACAGCCTTAACACTGCCATATGCCACAAGCTCGTCAACTTTGAGAGCATTTTTGAATGCTTGATCTTTCATTAAACGTCGTATATCAGGTTCATTTAATAATCCTACAAAATTAAAGTAGTAGGTATATCTCGTAAAATTTTGTAATGAAATATTGCGTTGGTTTTTCTTGGGCGTAAAGGTACCGCAACAAAAACAAAACAAATTTAGAACGACGACATAAAGGTTCGTCCTTTTTCTCTTTCTCTGCCACTTCCATTTCCTGCCCTTTTTTTCATTTTTGGTTCTTAAAATCACTTTCAAGTAAAAATACAATTTAAAGTTTGAATTTTAAATGTCAAAAATTAATAGATGCACTTTGTGCTTGAACGATAAAGTAGATAAAGACGCCTTTATATTATACTTTAATTCGATATTAAATTAAATAAGAATTTAATTTTTGGGTACTTTGGGCATGATGTGAATAAAAAAATATCAAATAATACCCTGATAGCACAGTTTATTCTAAGAATGTTTTTTAAACCTTCCAGTGGGAATATTCTTAGGATCATGCTATATTTCTTCTAGTCATGTTCTAAGAATGTTTTTTAAACCTTCCAGTGAGAATATTCTTAGGATCATGCTATATTTCTTCTAGTCATGTTCTAAGAATGTTTTTTAAACCTTCCAGTGAGAATTTTCTACAGGATCATGCTATATTTCTTTTAAAGAACATGCTTAAAAGAAATATTGCATAATCCTAAGACCTATAGGCAGGTTCTTAGAAGGTGTAAAGTTTAGTGGTAAAAATTAATCCACTCTAAACATATGCTTAGAATGCTGAGAAAGTAATTGCTATAGAAAGTTCATTTAGGAATATTCCTGGAACATTCTGTTAAGCATATTCAGTTCAGTTAGGTACCTATATAATAGTAAAATATACCATAATCTACGTATAAAGGTACCTATACTTAGTATTAAATACTAAGTAAAAAATACAACCCAAAATATTTTTTATAGTTATTTGTCAAATTAAAACAATATTCGATAACAAAAATACTTTTACTATAGGTACATATCTAAATTATCCGGCTTTTAAATAAAACCTTCTATCCAACTTAAATACAATGAAAAATGTTTTTTTATGAAGAACTATTTGGTTCTTTCTTTTATGAAGATTATTTTATAAGGAAATATTTTGTTTTTTTATATTTTATTTTATGTTAAAAATAAATATTTATTAATTTGTATACCGATTTTTTATTTCTGCAGAATTAACATTTTTATGTATAATAATCCTAACTTTCTTCAATTTCAATCTAATCTGACTTATCCCACAAAATTTTCCAATTTTACTTTTTATGAAATAATGTCATACAACTTATGGTTTAGAGGTCAAATTGTTTATTTAATATTTTTAAATAAATATAAATTAATATGTCGCAAAATTTTTTAAGAGGACGACAAATACATTTCACTGTCATATTATGACAGTGAGGCGTATTTGTCGCCTCCTGAAGAATTTTACGAAAGTAGAATCCAACATATTAGAACGTGGGTATCTGACATATTTGGAAACATTCTCAAAAGCTTTCTAGAAGCTCCATAAGAAACCTAAGAACATTCCAAAAATGTTCTTAGAATGCTTTTTAGGAAGGATTTAAGAAGCTTCTAAGAATCTAATTGCATCATTAAAAGGGTATCTATTGAATGTTTTAAAAGTCCCTAGGAACATTCTTAGCAATAAGGGAAGGTTCTAAGAATATTCCATTATTCCGGGTCATATCTTCTTAGAAGATTCTTAGAATCAAATTTTGCTATCAGGGATATACCATGTATGGTGTTAAAATGGTCATGAAATTTTGAACAGTGTAAATTTTAACAAACCTGTAATAAGCGTTTCCTTTGAAGAAGTAGGTGTAGCCGTTGGTCCACTGGAAGGCAGCATCCAGATTGTCGGGCAATCCCTCCCAGTTGGAGATCATCTTGGGATACGTGCTCTTCACCGGCGGCCTTTGGGTGGGATCGAACCTCCAGAACTTGAACCCTTTGTAGAAGTAAATCTTCCCGTTCCCGCTCCACACCAGGGCCGCATCTAGATCGTCGGGGATGCCGGTGAAGCCTTCCGCGATCTCCTTCGGGTAGATGCCGTCCATCTTCCGGCCCTTGTACCGCCAATACTTCGAGCCCTTGAAGAAGTACGTCTTGCCGTTTTTGTAGGTGAAGGCGGCGTCGATGTTGCCCGTCAAACCCGGCCATCCGCTGGATATGAGTTTGGGGTAACCGGGCGCCACGCTTTCCTCGGTCAGCCGCCAGTATTTGTTGCCCTTGAACACGTAGGTGTTGCCTTCCGGCGAGTTGAAGATCGCGTCGATCTTCGGGTCCTTGCACAGGGATTCGTCAGGGTTCACCTTGGAAACTAGAACAGAAATAAGTTTGAACAAATGTTAGGAACATTCAACACCGCACGGAAAGAAATGGTTTTAAATTAACCCTTGCGGAAATTTTTGTCTGAAAAAGTTTTAATAACTAAAAGTAAGAGTTTTGAAAGTCTTCTTTCTCTTAAAAACTCTGAATTAGTCTTGTTAAGTTGAAAAAAGTCTTAGTAAGTCGGACTTGGGAGTCTTCTGGAAGAGTTCCCTGAGCACAGTTTATTCTAAGAATGTTTTTTAAACCTTCCAGTGAGAATATTCTTAGGATCATGCTATATTTTTTCTAAAGAACATGCTTAAAAGAAATATAGCATAATCCTAAGAATATTCTCACTGGCCTATAGGCAGGTTCTTAGAAGGTGCAAAGTTTAGTGGTAAAAATTAATCCACTCTAAACATATGCTTAGAATGTTGAGAAAGTAATTGCTATAGAAAGTTCATTTAGGAATATTCCTGGAACATTCTGTTAAGCATATTCAGTTTAGTTAGGTACCTATATAATAGTAAAATATACCATAATATACGTATAAAGGTACCTATACTAAGTAAAAAACACAACCCAAAATATTTTTTATGGTTATTTGTCAAATTAAAACAATATTCGATAACAAAAATACTTTTACTATAGGTATCTAAATTATATGGCTTTAACATAAAACCTTCTATCCAACTTAAATACAATGAAAAATGTTTTTTTTATGAAGAACTATTTGGTTTTTTCTTTTATGAAGAATTATTTTATAAGGAAATATTTTGTTTTTTTATATTTTATTTTATGTTAAAAATAAATATTTATTAATTTGTATACCGATTCTTTATTTCTGAATTAACATTTTTATGTATAATAATCCTAACTATCTTCAACTTCAATCTAATCTGACTTATCCCACAAAATTTTCCAATTTTACTTTTTATGAAATAATGTCATACAACTTATGGTTTAGAGGTCAAATTGTTTATTTAATATTTTTAAATAAATATAAATTAATATGTCGCAAAATTTTTTAAGGGGACGACAAATACATTTCACTGTCATATTATGACAGTGAGGCGTATTTGTCGCCTTCTGAAGAATTTTACGAATGTAGAATCCAATATATTAGAACGTGGGTATCTGACATATTTGAAAATATTCTCAAAAGCTTCCTAGAAGCTCCATAAGAAACCTTCTAAAAACATTCCAAAAACGTATTCTTAAAATTTTCTTAGAATGCTTTTTAGGGAGGTTTTAAAAAGCTTCTAAGAATCTAATTGCATTATTTAAAGGGTATCTATTGAATGTTTTAAAATCCCTAAGAACATTCTTAGCAATATGGGAAGGTTCTAAGAATATTTCATTATTCCGGGTCATATCTTCTTAGAAGATTCTTAGAATCAAATTTTGCTATCAGGGGTTAATAAGACTTGGCATAGAAATGGTATATATACCTAGAGAGATTAAAATAAATATCGCATATTTAGTACATATACAATATTATTTACTGAACATTTCTTTTGTTACTATTTTAATCGAAATTTGCAAATCACCAGATTTTACCAGCTTATAATTCAAAACCCGTTAACATTACGAAAATAGTCGCTTTCGAGTAAAATACTTGCAAACGGCAACACTGCGTCGGACTGACAGAATAAAGATGCAATCATTGGTCAGCTGAGTTATATGGCTGAGAAAATCAATATTGCTTCTAGAACACATGTGTTGTTGTTTTTCATATAACAATGGTTAGATGAAAAAAAAATAAAACGTACAGTGGCAACAATGAAAGAAAGTTAAGTGCATCGTATGTAAAAAATTATAATTGTTATAATTAGTACACCTTACATATGTTATTATAAAGGTAATTATGCAATAAACTTGGCTTATAACAAAACAGCAAAAATGTTAATTAATATTTTTCTTTGTGTTTTATTTTCCAATAACCAAATACAACCGCTCGGAATAATTCCGGATTTTTATTGCTATAGCTAAACCTAGGTACCTACCATTTCTCTTCTAAAAGTCTTGTTTTGTCTTCAAGTATAAGAAATAAGTTTTTTAAAATAATAAAAATTAAATTAAATATCTTACCTGATGGAGTGTTTCCTTCATGATCAAAGTCATCATCATCATCGTTATCATCTTCAGGAATTCCAGGTGCATTATTTTTAGTCTTTTTGCCGTATAAAGCTTGAATACCCTGTACATCGTCGATATGTAGCTGGAAGGTTGGGTCGTAGCCCCTGTAGAAAGGAGCCATTAGAGCTTCCCTAACGTCGGAATGACTCAGTCCTAACGAATGACCGAACTCGTGAGCTGCCACTTGGAATAAGTTGGTACCCCTGTAGCTGTTGATTGACCATTGCTCGGAGTTATCGAAGTGAGCATCTCCACCAAAAACCTTTTGATATAAAAGAAACGTTTAAATGGTTATATCACCCGTAAAAACTTATCATTACAAAAGTTAACTTACTGGGAAATATGCGTGAGCCAAGGTACCACCAGGTCCATCAAAAGGATCACCGTCACCGTGTTCTCCACTTTCAAATCTAATTTCTATGTGAACTTGCCCTTTGGAAGGTGTAAAAGTGAGATCAGTAAAGTCGGACCATACGGAAAAAGCTCTGTAAATTTCTTTGTCCACATCCTTTTTCTCCAGTTTTCTTGGGTATTTGGATATTTTGTATGTGAGATCCTTTACTTTCCATCTACTACCTAAGATTATAAAAAAAATATTTTTATTATTATTTAAAATTTATAAATGCCGTTGTTTTATAGATTTTAGTTTTTTTCTTATAAATATATAAATATGATAGTTTGTTTGTTTAAACTTTATTCATGTTTACTTAAAAATAAGAATATTTGAATTTTTAATAATAGTTTCATAAAAACATGCAAAAAAGTATAGTAATTGGACATTTTATATAGTAATTGGACACATGGACCATAGTTATTGGACATACAATTTTTATATAAAAATAACAAATTTACATCAAATAATATAAATTGTTAAATATTTTTTAAAGATAAATTGCTGTTTTAGGTAATTTTCTGGATTTTGCAGGTAACTACTAATTCCTTGGTCTGACTTCTGAAATAGTTTGTTGCAAATATCAGTGTGGTATCTCTAGTTTGTGAAGCATTTATAATGTTTTGGCCGGAACAAGATGATTTATATATTTCTAATATTTTTTCGGGTGGTATTTTAAAAGTATTTTCTGAATTTATTAATTTTGTGCCTTTAGTTTTTTGAGTTCTCTATCATGCACTGTATAAGATGTCCTGTGACGAAGAAATCTCTCTAAAAATGAATTATTCAAAAATGTCATAGCGAAAAACCAGCCACTAATAATTCTCGTCAACAGCAATTTGTATCCAGGACATTTAGCAGTCAATTCCTATGAAATATTATTCGCTGAATCCGAAAATATCGTCAAAAGTTATAAAAGTAGAACAGTTTTTGAAATATAATCAATTTAACATATAATATTGACTATATCTCAAAAACTACTTAATTTTTTTAGTTTTTGACGGTCTTTTTGGATTCAGGGGACAATTTTACATAAGAATTGGCTGGTAAATGTCCGGAATAAAAATAGAGTATGATATTGGACATATGTCCAATAATAGAAATTTACATTTTTTACCAACCAGTTATTGGACACTGGCCATTTTACTTTTTGTTTTCAGAATTAAAATTAAAACGCATTAAAGTGACAATGTTTAAACAATGAGGAACACATTTATTCCACACTCTGATCTGTACACTTTTTAGAAATATTTTTTATTGTAATTTAAACACAGCCCTGCTCAAAAAAAAACAAAAATCTTACCACCAAAGTAACGTGCGAACTTTTTTGTCCTATATTGGACACAAAATAAAGTAGTTCTATATTATTACCGACTAAGATTGTCCAATAACTATAAAATGTCCGATAACTGTCTACTTTACCATACTGATATGCATTTGAATGTTAGGTACCTAGGTAGGTACTAATAATTTTAATTTTTTTATTTTAATATTATAAATTACAATTTAAATTATCTGCATAATTTTCACATTTTATCCAAAGGTATTTAGCCTATAGTAGACCAGATAGTTCCCAGTAAAAATTTCTACATTTAATTGTAATTTTATGTAAAATTTTTTTTTGATATGGTCGACCGGAAACAAGCTCAATTGACCATTGTACTACACGCCATTCAATTAAATCGACAGTTTTTGTGTCTGGAAAATATTTTACCAATCCAATTAGAGTTTTTTCTACATAAATTATGCAGGTGTTTAATAAATATTTTAAAAAATATTTACATTTTTAATATATAATTTATGTAAATATAAATAGTAAATACATTTGCACTGTCTAGTAGAACAATAATAAACAATTTTAGCAGTACGTTAAATATTTAACAATTAACACACACTTTTGTTTACCCAAAGTGACAAAATTTGAATTCCATCCTGTTACAGATAAAATCGAAAAATCCCTGGTTTTTTGGCACTCCTTGCATGCATGCGTATTAATGATTATAATTTATTTACTATTAAACACTAATTCTTACTACAGGCGATAAAAATGGTTTGCACTAAAACCGCGCTATGTGTAATACATCAATATTTGAAAGTCAAATATTGAATTAGTTTTCGAAATAAATAATAAGTGTGCTAGGATTCATTTTAATCGTATATTTTTTGGAGTGTTTTTTATTAATTTTAATATAACTACTCTCTAAAAATGAATTATTCAAAAATAACTAATTTAGTAGTTATAGGGGTGCTTTTTCACTTGTACCATGGTTAACCATGGAATACCATGGTATACCAAAATTTAACAGCCAATTATTATGTAAAATTGAGATATAGTCAATTTTCCATTTAATATGGAATTGACTATATCTCAAAAACTGCTTTACTTTCATAATTTTTGACGGTATTTTCTGATTCAGGGGACAATTTTACATAGGAATTGGCTGTTAAATTTTGGGATGCCATGGTATTCCATGGTTAACCATGGTACAAGTAAAAAAGCAGCCACTAATAACTATTCAATTAGTCATTTTTGACTAATTCATTTTTAGAGAGGTGGTGGCCAATGGAGGGTTTTTATTTGGCAACTAAACCTACATTTTTGAACCTATCATAGAGTTTCTTAAATTGAAATTATTTGTAAATACGATTTTTTAATAAACAAATTTAGAAAAAAATATGTTGTTTACATTTTCCTCGCAATTTTAATGTTGTAACATGACACTTTTTATTTCATTTCATATTATATTTGCTTTAAAACAGTATCTTTTATTTTATTGAAAACATTTGACTAATAAATGGCTTTAAAACTAGATATTTAATTTGAAAAGCCATTATTTAAAATATTTAACCTAAAAACAAAAATTAAATTTTGACCTATTTACTTTTTTTTAACAATTTTTAAGATTTATTAATTATTTACGAATCTAGTAAGATTTATTCTATTTCTTCTATTTGTATTTAGATTTGAGCTTTTTTATTTGTTGTGTTAAACCACTATTACAAATGTTGTAAAAAACTAGATAAATCAAAAATTTTGCTGGGCTGATTTAAAAAATGACAATGACAAATATATGCAAATTCTAAGGTTTTTTAAATAAAAACGTTCTCTTTAAAATTAAAATAATAGTATATTAAAAAACTAATGTCATAAGACGTCATTTTGTAATGGACGAGTGCGACAAAAGGTCTTATGACATGAGTTCTTAATGCTATTTTATCTATTTTGCAAAAATTATATAAAAAAAATTAATTTTATACCTTAATTTGGTCGAATTTTACTTTACATAGGTATCACAGTCATTGGTTTGACAGTTAATGTCAAAATAGATTGGCCATGCCGTCCTTAATTTACTTATTTACAATAAGCGGCTGTTAATGTTAAAGAAGAAAAAAAGGATTTTCTTTGATGTTAAACTAAATTTATTGCCAGAAAAGTCTCGTAAGTACTAGAAAAATCATAAAAATATAACCAATATGCAAAATATTATGCTGTTTAAAGTATAGCCAACCTATAAAATCAAAAATTTTGGGTGGGATAAAGTATCTCATTACACCGAAAGCGGTGTTATAATGAAGTCATTATGAACGCAAAATAGATATGAGATGTTAACATTACCTGTTGGACGCACAGAACCCGATTTAAATTTTGAAAAAATGGCGGATGCGCCGGGATTAATATATTAAAACTTAAAAATTTAGTAATTTTTATCCAATAAGGGTATTTAATACATGTCTATTTTGCTTTAAAATTATTTTTTATGCTCTAGTCTCTAAAATACTTTACCTCATGGTACAAGAAAACAAGGTATGTACTTGCCAAGTGAACATCTGTAAAAACAATGCCAAAAGAAAAAAATCCTGTTTGGGCTTGAAAAAATTGATCTTAAGGATAGTAAGTGGATTTATTTTAAAAACAATTAAATAGCAATAGTTTTTTAAGATGTACTTTCCTTTTGTGTGCAAAAATTATCTGTGACAAATATATAAATAAAATAATAATATTTGCTGATATTTTAGGTTAATATTTTTGTTTGTTTTGTAGCTCGTGTTTGTTCCATTTACTTCGAAGATAGTTGCTAGAAAAAGAAAATTGGATCGAAGAAACGTATTATCTACATTCCCCTAAAAAAAAGTCTTTAAAAGTGGACACTGTTCCAACTTTACACTTAACAGCTAATCTATAAAAAAATCAAGTACTTTTTTTTGACATTGTCAAAGTTCAATTAAAAAAAACTAGGTACCTACCTACTAAATTGCAATTATTAGTTAATACGATTTTTTAATAAATAAATTTAGAAAAAATATGTTGTAATTTAACAATTTCATTTAATTCTTTATATTTGCTTTAAAACAGTATATTTTATTTGAAAACCCATTATTTAAAACTAAAATTTAATTTTTTAATTAGCACTTTTTAACATATTTATTAACATGTACATATATAAAATGTATATGTATAACATTTATTTGTATATAACATATATATTAACATGTATATTTTATTTGGCATTTGGTAAATATTATTTAATTTAAAACAATAAATTTGATTTGATTTTTTTTTCATTATTAATATTTTCTCTAAATGTTAATATTGTGGTTTAGATCGTTTTTTACGTATGGTCTTCAAATTATTCGATAATTTAATCTTAAAATCGAATAATTTTATAGAAATTTTAATAATAATATACAATAATAAATAATTTAAATAATAATATATAATAATAATATAATTTAAATTTTTAAAGTCTGGAATGAAATAAGATTCGTCCTACTGAACAACATATAGTAAATTTAAAAGTAAACTACGTACACGTCATCAATAAAACAAAAATTGTACGCATTGGTACCAACACTAAATGACTAAATCGAAGTCTGTAATTGAATATTTGAATGCATTTTAAACATCATCAGTTGGCAACAATTAAGATGTTGTCATATTTACATTTAAATATTTCATATTTAAATGACACATAAAAAAGAATTTGACGTTTTAGAATTTCGAAGCTGTCAGTTGTGTTTTTGAATATTTCGTTTAATTCGTGTATTATTTCGTTTATTTTGTTTGTTGTTTGTGTTATTTTATATCGTTTAAGTTTTCATTGCCGTTTTTGAGTTTGTTATATATCGTTTTTTTGTGTTTCCTATATTTAAAATGCCGAAGCATTTAAATAGTCGGAGTCAAGAGTTGGTGTCATCCTTAATACGCTATTTTGAGGCAGAACGGGATAATAACGGACCTTTGTTACCTTTAACAGCTGTTAGAGAGGTAAATAGGATTATTATTAATTATATATTAGAATATTTAACAAAATATATGTTGGATACATAAAATAATAATATATATACCAGAGACTGACTTTAGATGGCAAAATTTTTGGGTTTTATATCAGAAAAGGTCTTTAAAAATGGCTAAAAACATACTTTTGGCGGTGCATCATATAGGTTATAAAAACTCAGACTTTTGACATTTTGACATTATTCATGTAAACGCCATCTATCGCCCTGTAGTTGCACTACCACTTTCCCTTGATGCAAGGATTTTAGCATCACATTGACAACCGTGCCCGATCAGCTGATTGATGACGTGTACGTAGTTTACTTTTAAATTTACTATACCTTGTTTTCTTGTAACATGATTTACCTTAGAGTTTAAAACATGGATATACCTTAGAGCATACAATACGTGACATTTTCAATGACAATCGTTTTTTTCAAATCAATAAAAAATGCGCTGACCTATTTAGTATATTTTTTTTATTATTATTGTTAACTTACCTTGTAGAGCGTATCTTTTTTGTCTCTCTCCAGTTCCTATTTTGTCTTTCACCCCGCATCTAGGCAGGTCCATTGCCTTTAGCGTTTCGTCATCGGCGATTCCTGAAAAATAAAAATGAATGTTAAAACTGTTAAATAGGTTTTGCTAACAAAGGATGTCGTCTTTACATCTAATTAAAAGTTTCATTGAATTTAATGCTGGTAGGTGTAACCTTACTCATTTGATTACCTACATTTTGATAATTTTACTGCTATATTCCAGATCAGTGTACAATAATTGGGACCAAACAATCGAAAAAGTCAATGTCAAGGTATTACATAAATTTGGTAAATAAATATAACATACTTATAAAGGTATGTGGTTGAGCTGACTACATAAAAATAAGATAAACAATACCAAGAATAAATACACCCAACTCTTTATCTTGTATTATCTGTAATTCAAGCTAAAAAATTAAAGTCAGCGACCCAATAAAATATGTAATTTTTGCTTTACAGGTATTTATTTAACGATAAATACATAAGTACTACATGCTTAGGCAATTATCTTCACTACATAAATTACTAGAAGGATGTTGTTATTGGTATGCAATACCACCAATAAATAATTATTGTTTTATAATTCTCTATATTTAGACTTTTATTTTTCTCTATGCACACGTACCTGCATCTGCCTAACCTTCGGCACAAGTTAAAATATGATAATTAAAAAAAATGATAATTTAATTTCACGGAAAATATATTCTTATATAATAAATTACTATCGAAAGATTTTTACGTTAATAGTTATTAAAGCGTAAATAATTGTTTACCACAAAAAATTTCCATAAGGGCTCCATTAATTACAAACTGTAAAAAAGTACATTTATAGATTTAATTTTGTAAAATGTAGAATCTTGCATAATCTTTTTACAGAAAAAATACAGAGTGTTGAATTATAATAGAGGTCAGATATATTTAATTGTTAGTTTTTTGATTATTTAATAGAAAAAAAACATGATGAATTAAAAAGCGTAAAAAATAGGATTTAAACGCGAAATTACGAGTTGTTGATAGTTGGTTTCTATGGTAACGCTTTTCGCTTTTGATAGTTGCAGTGACAGTTCTATATGCAGTGTTATTTAAAATCTTAAAATGAGTTGTAAAACCAATTATTATGTTCTGTGAAACAAATGAAGTTGTTTAATTTTCAATAAAAAAAAAAATTCGTTTATGTGCTCGCCTCTGGAAAAATTATGGCAACGAGCGGATGAAGAAATTTAATTTTTTCTTGAAAAATTAAGCAAGAGGGAGAAAAATACAAAAGACGAAAAAGTTGTATTTTTAATTTCCTCATGTAAATATAATATCAAAATTATAAAAAAACAGAGACTTGACCATATTTTTTAGTTGGTCATTTTAGTAGTTCATATAAACTTTTATTTTTATTTTTTCGAGTTCTATTTTCCGGACTAATCTAAGACACCATGTAAATATATATAGTTAACCTGGAATTGAGACATTATAAACTCGAAAACTATCAACAAATTAAGCTATTGTTACACTAGTGGAATAATGGAAAAGAACAAGAGGAAAAGAAGACAATTTATGGCCTTAGAAGTGCAGCTGGCAGCTGGCCTGTTAAGCAAAAATGCCTTATCTACAATATTAAGTAATAAAGGACAAACAATTATTTTTATTGTTTCTAACAAGTTTTTAGCAAAAACAATTTTCTTTTGTCCCTTATTAATTAATATGGCAGATAAGGCATTTTGCTTAACATAGCAGATGTACTAAAAGTCAGCTTAACGTATGTCACTAGCAGCTAAGTTTAAAATGTTGGTAAGTGCGAACCAAGCTGTAAACAGTTTCATTCATAATTTAATAATAAATGATACCAAATGCAGATTAAACCACTATTGTATTTTAGCATTTTCGTAATAATGACATCTTGTGACCAAATTTAATGTTGGTGAGCAGATAACTTTGGACCCCCTGTACCCATATTATTAATATCAATATTCCCTCTCTATTTGAGAAATGTTTGTGATTTTCAAAAACAAAGTTCTTACCTGTGACCTCGAGACCGGCAAAGTTTTGGAAGTCCTTTATAGCTTTGGTGTAGCTCCTTTCGTCCAAAAGGTCCGCGCTGTGTTCCGAGCTCTTCTTTTCAATATAACCAAACTTTTGTAGGTAAAACTGAAGCAACAAAACACTGATTTAGTACTAGTTAGGTAAAAATACATTAGTAACAGTAAATTATCTTAAATGGCTGACAATTAATTCATTCAATTAATTAAATAAATTGTTTGTTTAATGAATCGAATTACCTTGAAATTCTTGAAAATACGAGTTTAAATTTTATTTATTTTTCATTCAATATTTGGTTAGGATGATAACTGATTACAAAACAATTCTATGTGTTAACAATGAATACTTTTTGAAAGGAAAAGTTCAAATCAATATTGGTAAATAATTGTTTTCTACAATTTCTTTGTGTACTTTTTTTATAATATATTATAAGGAAAACATTTTTACACCAATAGTCCAGTCATCTTAGTAGTTTCACCTCGGAATATGAGATACCAAGCTGTATATTTGTATAAACTTTTATTTTGACATCCTAAAACTTGCCTCAAAACCTAAATACTGTAAGGTGTCCGCATCTGTCAAAAATTAAGGTCAAAGGTTACAAAAATCGATTTTTTTAACATTTTCTGCAAATATCTCGTTTCCTATAGGGTTTACGCGATTTGTATTTATTATCAATATTATAGAAGATAAAATTCTCTACAACTTTTGTCTAAATAGTTTTTTTATACCTCGAATCGTTTTTGAGATAGAGGGCAGTGAGCGCGCAGTGTTTAACTATATAGTAGAGTACCATTTAAGGTCAACCGGAAGGCCCGATCAAAAACATGCCTTAAACAGTTTATAAAATGTTGAGAAATATATAATTATAAATAATTTTAATTTTTTTAAATATTACATTATAGTTAATAACTTTTTTCATGATGTATCTATTGTTAATTAAGTATCAGTGTATTTAATCGCACTTACCTGGTTGTGTACTTAAAAATTACTAAGAGAAATACCTAAATTTTTTGTAATGTTAATCAATGCTATACTAATTACTTAAATAAGTAAAAATGAAGAAATGAAATAAATTTCTAATTAACTTTTTTATTAAAAAATTTTCAATCCTTACATTTATCAGTAAAAACTAAAAAAAAAAGAATAATTATTCAAACAACGACAAACTCTGATTTTAATTCTCTTCTTCTTCCTCATTATCATTGTCTTCCAGTTGAATTTCAAGTTCTTCTTCATCTTCGCCTTCAACGACATTTGTTTCTATAAGGTCTATATAGGTCTTTCATGATGTCAGGATCAAAGGTCCCATCTTCTTGGGCATCATTCTGGTATGGCAAAGCATTGAGACAAGTTGCCCGTTACATTGGCCACAAGCTAAAGAGCACTGCAACCCCGACTTCCTGCAACCACATCGCGAACCACAACCATTCTTGCAGTTGCAGAATATTGTATTTAGCAATTCTTCTGGAGCAGGTGGGAGAATTGTCGTGATTGGTTCCAGGAATTCGCCATGCCCTAACCAAGTTTGAACTTGATAGTATACACGATTGAGATGTTGATGAGCTGCAGCACTTGTTGGTGGAATATTCGATAACTGCACAGGTTTATTTGATTTTGTAGCTTGGTTAGGGCATGACTTGGAACCCCAGAATTGGGGCTGGACAATGCGTGGCGAATTCCTGGAACCAATCACGACAATTCTCCCACCTGCTCCAGAAGAATTGCTAAATACAATATTCTGCAACTGCAAGAATGGTTGTGGTTCGCGATGTGGTTGCAGGAAGTCGGGGTTGCAGTGCTCTTTAGCTTGTGGCCAATGTAACGGGCAACTTGTCTCAATGCTTTGCCATACCAGAATGATGCCCAAGAAGATGGGACCTTTGATCCTGACATCATGAAAGACCTATATAGACCTTATAGAAACAAATGTCGTTGAAGGCGAAGATGAAGAAGAACTTGAAATTCAACTGGAAGACAATGATAATGAGGAAGAAGAAGAGAATTAAAATCAGAGTTTGTCGTTGTTTGAATAATTATTCTTTTTTTTTAGTTTTTACTGATAAATGTAAGGATTGAACATTTTTTAATTAGAAATTTATTTCATTTCTTCATTTTTACTTATTTAAGTAATTAGTATAGCATTGATTAACATTACAAAAAATTTAGGTATTTCTCTTAGTAATTTTTAAGTACACAACCAGGTAAGTGCGATTAAATACACTGATACTAAATTAACAATAGATACATCATGAAAAAAGTTATTAACTATAATGTAATATTTAAAAAAATTAAAATTATTTATAATTATATATTTCTCAACATTTTATAAACTGTTTAAGGCATGTTTTTGATCGGGCCTTCCGGTTGACCTTAAATGGTACTCTATATAGTTAAACACTGCGCGCTCACTGCCCTCTATCTCAAAAACGATTCGAGGTATAAAAAAACTTTTTAAACAAAAGTTGTAGAGAATTTTATCTTCTATAATATTGATAATAAATACAAATCGCGTAAACCCCATAGGAAACGAGATATTTGCAGAAAATGTTAAAAAAATCGATTTTTGTGACCTTTGACCTTAATTTTTGACAGATGCGGACACCTTACAGTATGTAGGTTTTGAGGCAAGTTTTAGGATGTCAAAATAAAAGTTTATACAAATATACAGCTTGGTATCTCAAATTCCGAGATTCTTACCTTATTTTGACTAAGATGACTGGACTACAAGAAATATCTCTGTGTAATGATAATTTAATTATTTTTTTAGGATATTATAAAAATTGTCTAAACAAAATATTTTAGATGTTGCTGATAAACAGTATTATTTGTTTTACGATCATCAAGCAAAATTGTTTTTAAAATATGAGTCAAATATTATATCTATACCAAAATCTGTTTTTGTCTATCAATTGGTCTATTTATGTGGTAATCTTACACATAAATTATTTTTTTAGGTATTAATTTACATACATTAAATATACCTATTTAATATTTGTATGAGTCACTCAATAATTTTTAAAAAGGTTTAAAAATGAATCAATCAATGAACCAAGCCCACTCAATTTCCTTACAGTTTTTAATATGCTTTTCTTGGAACAAGAATATGATACATACCTATGTATATGCTAAATTTTATACCTGTTGTCTCAATGACTAAAGTGGTTTTCTCCGTTAAATTAACAAAAATGCAAGGACAAATTTACTACAAAGTAAATAAAGAAAACCATTACTATTTTTTATTAATAAATTCAAGTGTATGGTAGGTCTTGTTTTAGTTGCAGCACACGAAAAAAATGTTTTCTAAATGTAAGAATACCATTATTTTTAAAAAAGATTTTATTTCTTAGCTTAAAATCAAGTACAGTTAAAACAATATGATTGACCCAATATTGTCAAGGCTAAAACTAACATTTAACTAAATATTAATCTTTCTTTAAACAAGCAGATCTTATTCTTGCATGTTAAAAGTTAAGAAAGGCTTTAAATGAAATAACCTTATTCTTAATTTAAGATTAACAATCGATTAAACCAAATTTTGGAAAATTTCCTCTATTCTGTTCTTAAAGATATAAAACTATACTGGATATAAATATAATTATATTTATTCTAAGATTAGTAAATATTGGTACGATTGGCCTGTTCTTAAAAATATCCCCCACTCTGACATTTGGATGATTGTTTCTTGTGTTAGTAAATTTTTGGTTTGGAATTATGAAAGAACTGCTAAATTAGTGGAATTTGATAGAATTAACCACCAAATGAATGTGTAGGTAATAATTATTACATAATTATATTATTATGTGTAGTATTATGTATTGAATTTTAGATGTTGGAGTGATATTAGGTTGGCCGAAGAATCTTATAAAAAACAATTATGTATATTTTACTTCTAGATTATAGGTACGAATAAAAATTTTGGTAAACAGGCCAATATAGCCAAAAAATGTCCGTATCACAAACAAAATCAATGTGTCTGAAGGTTTGAAAAAATAATTGCAGTTTATATTATACATATATATATATATATATATATATATATATATATATATATATATATATATATATATATATATATATATATATATATATATATATATATATATATATATATATATATATATATATATATATATATATATATATATATATATATATATAGGTAGATAGGTATTTGAAACATTGTAAAAAAGTTATGTAATTAAGACAATGCTATAGACCAATATCATTTTTTTTCAGGTTAAGTTAAGCAATAATTGTTTCAAAGATTGTCTATTATTTTTTTTACTTTTGCTTAACTTTAAAGGTTAGAATATTGACCATGTTTATTTTAAAAGGTAAAGAGTGGATTATCCTATCTATTTTTCTCTATCAGTCTTGGAAAAAAAGAGATAGCATAGTTCACTCTTCACCTTTTGAAATAAACATGGTCATTATATCCTAACCTTTACTTAAAGCCTAGCAAAAGTTAAAAAAGAATGGACAATATTTGAAACAATTATTGCTTAACTTACATAAAGATACTTTATATTTAATCCAAAAGTAAATATTGTATCGCCAAGAATTATAACAGTTGTATCAAAAAATATTTATTCTTGTATTAAGCATAGTGTATATTTTATTTGGGGGTGCTTGCATTTAAAATAATATGACAGTTTTTCTTGAAATAAGAAGAAGTTTACCTTTGCACCTAAAATTGAAATTATATCATTTAAAATAATATGATAGTTTTTTTGAAATAAGGAGAAGTTTACCTTTGCACCTAACATTGAAATTATATCCAAATAAGTATAGGTTAGTTCTTGCATTCAACTCCCTATATCCCTCAAATAAGTATTAATTTAAATTACAAATAAGAATAAATCAATCCTTAAATAAAAAATATCTATACTTGCGAAATGGTGAGATGAACATATTCTTGGACTGAGATAATTAATCTTTAACATAGAATAGATTTTTTCCATGCACCGCGTTAAGAAGAAAAGATAAAAATTTCAAATGAAAGGGGGCCTTGTGATACCTCATTTAAAAGGTATTGCGATTCTCTATTCGACGTTATTCAAATTTTTAAAATCGGTTTAACGGTTGCTAAGTAATTGAGCATTTAA